ACCATAGTATTATAGTGTAAAAGAATCTACCTATACACACTCACGTTTCCATGTTTATGTTGTGTAGCCACATTAGATTCGAATATTTTGAATCTAATGTGTCTACAAAATCAGTGCGTTTTTTCGTTTAAAAAGAAGAACGGTAATACTTCTAATTAATTAGTATAAAATTTCTGTAACATGCTCAATAAAGAATAAATAACTCACTGTACTGCTCATGTCTATAGGCGACGGTTACCACTTTCCATCAGGTGGGCCGTCAGCTTGTTTGCCATTCTAAGTTGTATAAAAAAAAATGTTTGCCACTGTTTAAATAACAAGTTTTTTTTGCACAGGAAAATATATTTGTTTATAAATCGTTGCCTTAATAAATATTACCATTTTTTTTGCACAACAACGAGATAAACTTTGTGTTATTTACATTCAGATGCGTTATCGGTATAATTTATAATTTAGTTACAAAGACCGCCTTGTAAAAATGTACATACGCTTTCCGTATTTATGCACACTCGTACGTAACGATAAAACAAAGAGTAAGCCTTATATGTATACTATGTAAGTAGGTAATGTAAGACGCACACCGACGGTCAACCGTCAATAACTTCTAACTAACATTACAAAATTTTACACGAGTCCCAGAAGAAATCGTAATTCTAAATTAATTTCCAAATATGATGAAATCAAAAAGTAAAATTGTTGATTTTCAATCGACTTTAAGAAGTAGGAGGTTCTGAATTCGGTAAAATTTTTGTCTTATTTTTGTTACTCCATAACTGCGTGAGTTGTAAACCAATTTGGAAAATTATTTTTTTATCTGAAAAATTGTACTTGTGTATCGATTTCATAGAAATTTTATTAAAAGCGGTTTAGTCATTTAGATTTGAAATTAAAAAAAAAAAAAAACTGGTTTTTCTACGACGAAAGTTAATTCTTTTTGTAAAACAATGTTAAATGATTATATTTTTTAATATACTAGTATTAATGTAAAAATTATTTCTCTACCGCTTGACGCTCTACTGCTTGTCGTTCTATCAAAACTTAGGAACACTTTGTATGGGATAAAATTACGTTTTAAATTTTTCAGAAAATTTTACTCATCATAAAAACATTCCTCGAACTTAAATGGGGTTTTTAAATAATAAATAAGTTTTTTTTAATATTTAAAGGCTTTTACCTTCTTCAGGTGTATCAGTCCTATCGTACCCTGAACCGATTTCTCAAACAAAACTTTATCTACTTTCCCTAGACGCGGAAAGAGAAGAATTAATGGACATCAATAATTTACAGAGATGCTCAAAAATTTCTGGTTTAAGTGATTTGGTCCAGTAGTTCTCACATTTTGTGCTTAATAAAACATTTAGCGATTGTTTGTTGTTTTTCTTGTATCAGATCTAATTATGAGATATAAAAGTTAGTAAAAAATTCTAAGGCTGTTTTATAAATGTCAGTTACGGGGTGTTGATTGTTAAGTATCAATTCAAGATTAATCAGAATGGGTATACCAAGCGAAAACCCAGTGATAGTGATCATAAAACCTCAGATATACTAGTAAGAAACAGAGCGCCTTGTGTGAATTGCGCAATGATTTACATTATCAACCGCCTTCAAGAACAAGGCTTCCAAATCGGTTGTCTTTTCTATGTTTGTAACCTCGTAACTCTCTCAGTTGTACACCGATTTGAAAAATTATTTTTTATCTGAAGGATCTTTATTTACAGATGGAAATTTAATCAAAATTGGTTCAGTAATTTATTCTTTAAATCACCATAAGTAGTTCTGTCTTTTTTTTTTGTTTGGACACCAATCATGTATTACAATCGTGTGGAATACGTATGGAAATCTCAATTTTTACAACTATCCGCCAGAAGCGCTGTTAAGTTTTCAATACGTAAGTTTACAAATTATTGGCGACGTAAAAGTGAACACGAAACGTAAACCTTTGTACAAATTATAATGGATTTAAATGGGAGACAGGCATGACAGATGTATGTATTGACATCGTTTTTAAATACACCTACTAACAAAAAATGGACTCAAATTGTCCAAAATAAATTAATGAAATTATGTATTGTTATTAGGTTTTGTACGTTTCGAGAAATCACTGTTTCATGAACAATAAACCAAAATAATAAATTCAGAATAACAGCGTCTAGAATCGACTCCAATATCTAACAAAATACTTTAATTTGTGTAACTTAGAATGGCAAACAAACTGGCGGCCCACCTGATGGAAAGTGGTAACCGTCGCCTATAGACATGAGCAGTACTGTAGACATAACAGAGTATACTGTTTCGCCCATGATACCCCCCATGCGTTGCCATTCCTGATGACTCAGGTGTTATTCCTCTGTACCCTGTAAATTCACCGCCATATCTCACTCTTCAAACCGAAACATAGCCATGCAAACACAACTGCTTCACGGTAGAAACACGAATGGGACAGAGTTGGCCAAGCAAACGACTTTTGTACAAAGTCTCCCTCTGCTACATACTGTGTATATATAATTTGGCGACCCCCAATAAAGCGTTAAGGGCAATGTTATCAGATATCAAATGATGTAATAACCTTTCGGGAAACACAAGAAAAATGAGATGATTACGGTAATACGTACTCTGATAAGGCAGTACCGATAACTGAATAGAAACAAGCACTGTAAACATTGTTTTTAAAATGCGTCACGTTTTTTTCATTAACTGGTGATTCGACCTGGCTTCACACGGGTAGACAGAGTTTTCGAAAATAATATATAGCCTATGCTCAGCGTCATAATCATATCAGGCATTATCTGCCCACTATTAAACATAGGACCCCCATAGACTGCCATAAGGAGCGATCCCGAAACCACCTGTTATGTTAGTATATAACAGGTGTAGAATAGTGACATATTTTTCTCATTTAACCCTACTGGACACACAATGGTGGGGACAGGTGGAAAAATAATTCCACTTCCCCTCAGGGGGGAAAGTTGGTAGAGAAAAGTAGAAATGGCCGCTTTCTCCAGGTGTATTTGTAATGTCCATTTTATGTTGCAATATTGAGCGTTCTTTATCTGTAGAGACAATAACTGAAATGTCATCTGCGAAAAGTATTGTTTTATTATTTATTATGTCACCAAGATCATTTATATATACTAGAAATAATAGCGGTCCAAGTACGCTTCCTTGAGGGACTCCGTAACTATTGTACTCATATTTAGATCTATACATGTGTACCGTTGATTTAAAGTCTAGTTGTTGTATTTCCAATTCTGGGATAAAAAGAAATCTATTATTAATGTCTCTAATGTATTTGTTGACGTGTTTGGTTTATCATTATTTTGAGTTGTAGTATCCTTAGAATTTTTCCTCGTTTTTGGACAAAATTTAGATTTCGAATTTTTAGAAATGTCACATCTATTTATAAACTTGTTAATGCTATTTTATGATAAAAATTGTAATTTATAATCAATATAATCGATGCATAAATTAATCTTGGTACATTTATAACGAAGAAGGTTGTGTTTTTGCCTAATTTTTTGGCATAGTAATAACAGGATCACTGACATCACTTGATTTGTATTGGTTCATCCTTTATTCATTTGTAACTATAACAAATTATACTTTTCTTCTTTGAACAATTTTATTTCCTTACTTTCCAATTACACTTATAATTTATAGCTCTCAGGCATCAATACAGTAGAGTGTCTCGGTCACTATTGAACTGAATATTCTGTTTTTATACTCCTATAACCAAGTTTGAGTACACGAATGCTTTTTCCCTTAAATCAAATGGGCGCTCGTGGGCTCGCTCATAGTTTCACAACTTTATATATTTATTCTATTTATTTTATTACAACTTTCTAGTAATAACTAAGTATTATAAATTAACTTACTTATAATCATGTTGAACCTTAACATTGTGCAATGGTTAATTTAATAATGTGTTCTAGTAAAAATACTGAACAGTCATTTGAATATCTTATTTTTCTTTTACATAAAGTGAACAAAACAATTTTAATTGAATTAATTAGAATTGTTTTGTGTATTATAAAATATTAATATTGATTAATTTGTAAGTTTGCTACATTCAAATACTAATACTTCTGTTTGTAGCAAAAGGAAATACAATCACTTATTTAAATCATTTAAATAGAAATAATAGTCAAATGAGAATCTTAATTTCTGTTTGTAGCGAAAGGAAATACAATCACCTAATTCATTTTTTTAAATAGAAATAATAGTCAAATGAGAATATTAATTTCCGTTCGCACAATCACCTAATTTATTTAAATAGAATAATAGTCAAATGAGAATCCTAATTTCTGTTGGTAGCAAAAGGAAATAGAATCACCTAATTTATTTAAATAGAAATAATAGTCAAATGAGAATCCTAATAAGTTTTTCTAGCAAAAGGGAATACAATCACTTATTTAATTTATTTAAATACAAATAATAGTCAAATGAGAATCCCAATTTCCGTTTCTGGCAAAAGTAAATACAATCACTTATTTAGGTTTATAGCAAGTTAACTTTATGATTTAATAGAAAATCATTTGCGTTTAAAAAAATATTTTATAAAGGTACTACCAAGTTAACTTTTCTCGTTCACAGCTACAGATAATGACGCTTACGCCAATATATATAATTAAAATAATATATTCGTGTAATTATAGTACAATTTTTAAAATAGTTTCAAATTATAATTTAATGTCTTTTTATTTAAATAAGAATTATTATTTATTGGGATAATTCTTTTTTTTTTATACAACTTAGAATGGCAAACAAGCTGACGGCCCACCTGATGTAAAGTGGTACCCAAGCAAACGATTTTTGTACAAAGTCTCCTTCTGGTAATTCAAACAGACGATACCTAAATGGCCAATATATGTATAGTTTTTTTTTTTTAAGATACGTTAAACAGATGGCACTACAGTCCGCCAATTATATTTAGATATGAATGGATGGCACATTGACAAGTTGTAGCGCACATTAGCTATATATATTTTATATATATAATTACCATACACACGTGCACGGCTCAGTTATTGTCATGTCTTGATAAAGCAACATCTCGTTACAACGAAAATAATGTACATCAGTCCTCTCTACAAATCAGCTCGTAGAAATACATTTTAAATGTTTTCCTGCCTAATAAATAATAGTATTATAATAAAAATATAATAATTAATAATGGTGCTTCAGTGTTTTAGTCCATTTGTGAAACAAGTAAGTTTTTTTTTTTATTTTATTTTATTAATAAACGACGGAAGTAAGCGCAACGTGTCCATTTAAAATTAGAATCAAAGAGATGAATTTTGTTAAACTGTGAAATTGTGAAACTATTACGAATTCTTTTATTACTTTGTTTATAATTAATCCTTTCCATCCAAAGGTTGCCTGGAAGAGATCGCTTTTAGCGATAAGATCGCCCATGTGGTTCATAAACCTAAAAGCAAATAGAAATTTCGTTGTTACAACTCTTAGATTACGCTCAGGACATTATCCAAATGCAAAATTCGCTTTTCTTATGAAAAAAGTTAATAATCCGAATTGTGATGTTTGTAACACATTGGATGATGTTCACCATATGATATCCGAATGTACGAAATACAAAACACAAATATAGTCTCAATAGACAGGAGATTGGTTTATTTTCAAATATACTCGCAGAGCCACATTCCGGAATGGCAAAATCTTTAATTACTATATTTTTGTATCAATAATTCCCTTTATCAAAATAGACTACTAAGACATTATTATGTATTATTTATTTATGTATCAATGTTTTAAGTATGTGAGGTATTTTATAAAATTACGGTACGATGAGGCTGACATATCCTTACAGGATAAAAGCCTCTAAATAAAAAAGATTAAAAAAAAAGATCGCCCATTGTTTTCACATTGTGATTATTTTTTGTAATTGTTTGTCGTGAAATTACTGGGTACAGAGGAATAACACCTGAGTCCTCAGGAATGGCAACGCATGGGGGGTATCATGGACGAAACAGTATACTCCGTTATGTCCATGGTACTGCTCATGTCAATAGGCGACGGTTACCACTTTCCATCAGGTGGGCCGTCAGCTTGTTTGCCATTCTAAGTTGTGTAAAAAAAAGGAGCAAAATCCTATTAATATTATAGATTTTGTAAGGAAGAATAGATGAATGTCTGTTACTCTTTCACGCAAAAACTACTGAACGGATTTGAATGAAATTTGGTATACGAGTAGGTTATATTCTAACTTAGCACATACAATACTTTATATAATAAATAAAAAACACAGCCACATATAATTTCTGTTCTATCGTCGGATTTTGAATTATTATATCCTAGCCATTTTAACTTACATAAAATCATTAATTTGGTTGGTCAGGTTGGTTTGGTCATTTGGAGAGGATGTATGAAAGAAGAATTACGAAAGAGCTTCATCGAGCAATAATGAATGGAGATGTCGGTAGGGGCCGCCCTAGACGGACGTATGTCGACCAAATAGGCGACGTGCTGAAAAAGGGCCAAATTAAAAGTACCCGTAACTGGCGAGCATGTATGAAAAGATTGATAAATGTGGTAGAAGCGAAAGAGGTTTGTTTGAATCGAAGCATTTGGCGTTCCATTGTTTCTGCCTACCTTAATGGGAGACAGGCGTGACAGATATGTATGTATGTATGAAAATCATTAATATAAATAGAATTTAGTTGTTAGAAATAACTACATTCCATACAAGTTACCCAGTATCCAATTATTTACAAGTTAATTACTACATAATCATTACAAAAGTAGTCTAAGCATACAATAAGTAACAGAATTTCCTGTATTGATAATTGTGCAAAAATTGGCCAAGTATAAGTACTCGTAATAGAACTAACATATTCTAAAACACATTTAGTAAAATCAATCAATCATCTTTATATACTGAGGCAAAGCCACGTTAACTTACAACTTACAGTGAATTTACAGGGTACAGAGGAATAACGCCTGAGTCCTCAGTAATGGCAACGCATAGGAGTACCATGGGCGAAAGAGTATACTCTGTTATGTCCATGGTACTGCACATGTCTATAGGCGACGGTTACCACTTTCCATCAGGTGGTCCATCAGCTTGTTTGCCATTCTAAATTGCATAAAAAAAAAACTAGTATAAAATGTATATACTCGTTGTATAAATGACGAGCTTATACAAGACTTATACAGAGCATTATCTGCCAGTCGATCTTTATGTAAACAGAAATGTAATAATGCTGTGCGAAGTATCTGTTAAACATATAATCAGTTACAATATGCACCTCAATTACTATACCGATAATATCTATACATTGAGCAAATATACGTATATATATATAATACCCTTGATCTTTCAATTAATATAAATACGACTCACATACATAAATATATCACGTCTTATACTGATATAATATACATAGTGAAACTATATACTGTACTACATCTGTGCATAGAAGGTGTTTAAGGATTTTTTTTTATACAACTTAGAATGACAATCAAGCCGACGGTCCACCTGATGGAAAGCCTTTTCCTTTCCCATGGGTGTTGTAAAAGGCGACTAAAGGAGGGCGAGGAATGAGCATCAGAGTCCCTTTTGAAACATCACCAAAACCGAACTGCGGTTGCCAATCCGCCTGCCAAACGTGGCAATTACTGGCAAAAGTTTCCAAGGAACAGGCTTATGTTCAGAAGTTAACAGTAAAAGGCTGATATGATGATATTCATAAGATATATTTTAGCAGAGGGAGACTTTGTACAAAAGTCGTTTGCTTGGGTACCTCTGTCCCATTCGTGTTTCAACCGTAAAGCAGTTGTGTTTGCATGGCTGTGTTTCGGTTTGTAGGGTGGGATATGGTAGTGAATTTACTGGGTACAGAGGAATAACACCTGAGTCCTCAGGAATGGCAACGCATGGGGGGTATCATGGGCGAAACAGTATACTCTGTTATGTCGACGGTACTGCTCATGTCTATAGGCGACAGCTACCACTTTCCATCAGGTGGGCCGTCAGCTTGTTTGCCATTCTAACTTGTATAAAAAAAATCTAAGTATCTCCTCTTGTTACGCCAGCCATAAAATGATTTATTGTACCTAATTATGAAGCTTTTAAAGACTACTATTTTTAGACATTATCTTATTTTTTACGCCTAATTTCATAAATATCTAAATGGTCAAGTCCGTCTGTGCTATAAATATATTGATACTTTACGTCATTGTGACGTTAATGAAGTTGGATTTTTTTTAATGGGTGATAATGGAATGGTAACCCTTATCAAAATGGGCTCAACTTATATTTGTCTGCAGCGTTTCCAGATTAAGTATTTTTATTTGGCAATTTTAGATAAAAAAAAATTATGTTTGCAAAATTTTGAAAAAACGAAATTTCTGGAGCAATTTTTGATGTAAATTGAAATTTGGGTTATTTATTTAGAAATTTTAGGAAATAGTTTTAGCACTTGTAAACTTAAAAGAATGAGATATAAAAAAAGAGAGTGAAAAGTAGAAACGGAAAGACTATCCTTTTTTTCGTATCGATTTGCAGAAAAAATATTTTACGTTTGGGTAAAAATCAAAGTTGGCATCTGGTAACCTGTTTCTCTGGGAGAAATAGGTTACCAGATTCTCCCAATTCTTTACTTTCACCTTTTTTCCTTTGGATACCATAGCATTATCATCAACACCATTATCTGTCCACTGCTGGACATGGACCCCCTCTAGAGACTGCCTTAAGGAACGGTCCTAAAGCACTTGCATCCATTGACTCTCCCCAATGTATTTCAGGTCGTCACTCCATCTAGCATAGCATATGGTGTTATAATTTTATTAAATTTATCAATTCCAGTGCATCGTCACGATCGGTGTGACAATCAACATGGCGGGTATGGGGCTGGTGCTGGGATTCTCCACCGTGCTTCTTCCACAATTGAAGGAACCAGATTCTATAATACAAATAAACGACTCGTCCGGATCATGGATAGGTGAGGAAATACAATCCTTGTAATAAATTAGCATTGTATACATATAATCTTTATTGCACTTGTAAATTACATTGTTGATGCATTTATAAATATTGTGAGCAAGGGTGGACTTATCTCTGACAGAGATCTCTTCCAGTCAACCCAATGCAGTTAGAAAACATGTTGTTAGCGGGCAGCTGAAGTGCTACAAATATTAATATTTAGTGTACATAAACAAATGTACAGTTAAATAAAATATTAAGATACATAATAAAATATTACTTAAATACATATACTATAAATAAATATAATATCTACCTACTTATACAATGGATGTTAAAATAAATGAATATACTACCTACAATAAAAATTTAGTTTAATGATTTTAAAGTTTGACAGTTCAATTATAAAAATAAAAAATTAAGATTATGACTCAAAGGAAAGAAAATGTAACTTCAACCTTTTCTTGAAAGAGGTAATTGTATTATCTATCTATGTATTATCAAACAGACTTAGTTACTAGTTCTTTTAAATCGTAAATTTTTCATCATTGCACTGCTGAGTTCTGGATGTTGTTATCTGTTGGGAAGAACTAGCAAGAAACGCAACAGTTACTCTTTTTAAATTATGAGAAAATTCACATAAAAATCAATAATATATATATATATATAATAAATAATCTTTATTTCACTCTTTATTACAATATAGTTTGAAGTCACTAACTCCAGGTAGGTATGGAACCTGTGCTTCAGGCGTAAGTGCCCTTTTCCATATGTTGTTGTTTTTTTTATATTTTTAGTGAAACAATATGAAACAGAGAAGTAACAAAAACAAAAATTACAATGGAGTCCATAATTTTAGAGAAACAATAATTTATGGGTTCAGTGAAATTGTGATAAAAATGTATGCGTGTATGTGTGTGTGTGTGTGAATGCACGTGCGTATGTATGTGTGAGTGTGGGTGTGGAAATATCAAATTCGTAGAAAATACTATGTAAGGCAATTGACTATAAAGTGAAAGAGCTACATGTATTTATTTTTCTAATATTATCAAATTTTAATTAGAGGATATCTGTATATGGGATATACTTAAGAAAAATTCATGTAAGGAGTTAATAATACTTATAAATGCCAAATTATTATTTAAAAATTTTATCTGTCCGTCTGTCTGTATATATGTTTGTTCCGGATCGTGCTTAAACCACTACACCCACTTGGATGCGGTTTTTACACTTGTGTTCCAGAAAGTCTGACTTAAAATCTAGTGTATGTTTCATCTTAATCCATCTAGAATTGATATATTGCATTGCTCTATTTCTGAAACCAACGCGAACGAAGTAGGGGGCAAAAAGCTAGTATTGAATAACAATATATATACCTAATATACCCTGAAAAATTGCTGATACTAAAACCAAGCTAACTATTGTAAGCGAACAATAAACAGATTGAAAAATGACAATAACACTTCGAAAAACTAAATAACCGTAACGTGTACCTATTAAAATGTAAAATGTTACAAATCTTATGCAAATACTTTAAAATTATATTCAAAAATATTTTAAAAGCAATATTTTAATAATGCAAACACAAACAAATATTGCTTAGCAATAGACAGTTAACGGCTGAAATGAAATGAAATGAACTGTTTAGTGAAAAAAGACAGCAACTGCTTTTGTAACCAAATTAATAATTATTATTATTTATTTATTCCAAAAACTCCATTGTCCATTCTGTTAGTTACAGTTTGCTTGATCTATGTTAATGTTAATATGACTAGTAATACACTATTTTATTTTAAAATGAAGCTAATGCACCGATTTACCAGAGGGAGACTTTGTACAAAAGTCGATTGCTTGAGTACCTCTGTCCCATTTGTGTTTCAACCGTGAAGCGGTTGTGTTTGCATGGCTGTGTTTCGGTTTGAAGGGTGGGATATGGCGTGAATTTACTGGGTACAGAGGAATAACACCTGAGTCTTCAGGAATGGCAACGCATGGGGGGTATCATGGGTGAAACAGTATACTCTGTTATGTCCGTGGTACTGCTCATGTGTATAGGCGACGGTTACCACTTTCCATCAGGTGGGCCGTCAGCTTGTTTGCCATTCTAAGTTGTATAAAAAAAAATTTCGACAAGATATTTCATAGACATATTAATTTTTTTTTTTATAACACTCAAGTGGCTAACAAGAATATGGCCTATCTGATGATAAGCGATTATCATAGCCTGCAATATCAGGGGCATTACATGAAGGAACCTTTGCACCCCTTTTTTTTATAATTGTGAAATCCACTTTTGTTGAAACGAGCAATATTTCAGTTCCTTGCCCGCTCTTTTCAGTTGAAATTGCATTCCGAATGGGCAAGTAAGTAGAATCATAAAAAAATAACTATTAAAAAATCTTGTAAATTTCATCATCTTTTTTCATCAGCCTTTAACTGTACGCTGTATTTTGGCCGTAATTGCCACGTTTGGCAGGCGAATTGGCAACCGCAGCCAGGCTTTAGTGATGTTTTAAGAGGGACGCTGCTTCTCATCTCTCACCCTCCCTTTGTCAACTCTTACGACACCCACGGGATAGGAAGGGCTGGCCTATTCTACGCTAGGACCACACAGCCATAATTAAGTATTTTTATATTATTTAACAGTTTCATTAACAATGTATGTTTACATTGTTTCAGCTGCCATACCTGGATTTTCTATCGTCGTTGGAAACTTCACTATACCTTCAATAATGACCAAGTTTGGAAGAAAAGTAGCAATACTGGCCACCATAGCAGTCTCTGCTCTTGGGTGGTTATGCGTTGTTTTATCTAACAGCGTGGAACTAATGATCGCAGCTAGATTTATACAGGGCATCTCAATCGGCATGATCACAGTACTTGGACCAGTTATAATTGGGGAATGCACCAGCCCCAAAAATAGAGGTGCATTTTTGATGACGATAGCATTATCTATAGGCTTTGGAGTGTTTCTAATACACACAATTGGCATTTATTTGCATTGGCAGACGACTTCTTACATATGCATAGCTTTCGTGCTAGTAGATTTATTTATAGTAGTACTAACGCCAGAGACACCTAATTGGTTAGCGTCTCAAGGTAAACACGATGAATGTAGAAAAGTATTTAGATCCTTAAGGGGTGATAACGAAGACGAGGAATTAGAGAAAATGATAACAGCTAGTATAGTTGTAAATAAAGAAAAAGAAACGGAACACGAGCCTAAAACGTTTGTTAAAAGAATGGAAGCTAATTTACGTTATTTGAAAGCTACAGTTAAAGAGAGAGCGTTCTATAAGCCTGTATTAGTAATGTTGCATATTTACACGATGGCCCAATGGAGTGGTGTGAACATTGTCACCTCGTATACGATGGATTTAGTGGAAAACGTTATAGGACCTGAAGCCAACGTTGCTATAATGATAATATCTATAGATATACAGAGGTTAATTTCGAGCACAATCAGTTTAATAATAATAAGGAAGATTAGAAGGAGACTGTTGTTATTTATAACGGTGTCATTAGATTTAATAACGTTCATAGTTTTAGCTGGATACACGTATGCAAAACAGAATGATTTGTTGCCATACGATAGTCCTTATATAGGTATTGTGTTGATTCATATCCATGTGTTTTCCATAGTGACAGGAGCGATGCCATTATCATATGTGCTAGCTGGTGAACTTTATCCTATGCAATACAAGGGTTTGTGCGGAGGTATCAGTTCATTGTTTATGTCTTTAAATGTTTTTCTTGTTGTTAAAACTATACCTGTATTATTTAGTTCAATAGGGTTTCCATTCACATATTTATTATACGCGTGTGTGGTCGGTTACTGCTTATTTGTAACAAGTGTATTCTTGCCGGAAACCAAAGATAGAACATTGCAAGATATCGAGGAAGAGTTGAGAGGAAGGAAACTCTCTTTGACACATTAAAATTTTTAAGATCACATATGTATTGAGAGAATAAATTGTAAACAATGGTTCTGATAATGACCAGGTGGTCTACCATGAAATGAAATTCCGAATTTTCGGACTCAATTTCATGTTTTTGTTCGTACCAATATCGACCCAGTAAATGGAGTTTAACATTCCGTTCATCATAAATCCTATCCTAATAGTTCAGGGGAACGATATTTTAACATTTTTAATAATTTTAAACGGCGTGTATTATGTAATTTTAACATCAAATTTCTGTTTCGTTCGTCTCCGAAATTTCGGAAAATATTTCATGGTAAGCCCTCAGTTACTGAGAATCGTCTATGTAATACGAGTAATGACCGAACCGATCGAATATTCCAGAATTTTAAACCGTCCAGGTCATTAATGGTTGCCATTTATAAAAATTAATAGTTTATTAACATTTTCATCGTTTAATGCTTTTTCTTAGCCTGCTTTCTGCCTTCCATTTGTAATGTTGTTAACGTAATTTTGTAAGTGGGACAATTAAAACAATAACGGTACAGAACTTCTGTGAATTGGATAAAACATTCCTTTTTATGTTTCTATTTATAGTCACTAAACATAAATACATACTATAAAAATAATATTATCCACTCTGATTCATACAATGTTATTTATCACCACGCCCTAACACAGCCGGTCCGAAATAATCCCCCTATCCCTTCAGGTGGGGATATACAACAGTCTGAGACGTGGTTCGACCTGCTTACCGTCGTGGGTAACCCTCATACTATCCGGTGGACAGGAGACGGCGAAAGGCCGCTCCGTAAGTCCTTCCGCAGGTTTGGAGTACCGCCTGCACTCGCCCCATTTTTCATTCGGTGAAGCTGTATATATAGGCCATCTGCGTCCAACAGCATAGGGTAGTTTAAAACAACACATCCTAATAAATAAAGTGCCATAAGAAGTGTTTGTAAACATAATATTGTTAAATAATTAATATATAAACTTTGTTCTTCGATTGAATGCGTAAATTTATTTTTTTATAACTCTTAATTAAAATATAAATAAATATTCTTCGAGAGTTATTGTTTTGTTTAATTTCTTACAATAAAGTTATTTAAATGGGAACTAATTATGCTGGCTGAACAAACCCTTATTCACATGCAGGAGTATATTTACGTTAGATTTAGGTTTCAATAAGTAAATAACCTTGAAATGAACCATGAGATTTATTGTTATAATTTAATCTATTTCTGAGCTTATATACACATGTTAGAAATGTTAATATCGCGTTGTAGCACACAGATACAAATATAACAACTCCATCTAGTGATCAACGTGAGGAGTATTTCTGTTGTTCCCATGGTTACAGCATTTAACTCGATACGGATTATACACTGGCTCTAACCAACAGGTACCTTTCCGTCAGTCCTAAACTCCAGTCCTGAATATTCCAATATCTATATTTAATGCTCTAAAATTTAAAATTAAAGTTTAAATCAATAATAAGATTATGTTCCCAAAAAAAACCTATTTCAAAACCTGGAAGAGATCGCTCTTAGCGATAAGGTCACCCATTGTTTTCTCATTGTGATTATTTCTTGTAATTGTTTATATTTATAATAAGTTTACTATTGTAATCTTTTGGAGGAAACAATTAAGAGTGTGTATCAATTTTGTTAAAATTAATTATTTTGATTTGAAACTAAACTACAGCTAACAATTGATGCGTAAAACGCATCTTTATTATTATTTTTCATAGATATATGTATGTAATTTGACAGTGGCATACAGTTGTATGATCCCATATATTGCCGTGTTAAGACCGTGTATATATATATTCAGTGGTACCTCGATATACGAGTGCCCTAATATACCAGTTTTTTTTTATGGGTGTAAATGGTATGGTAACCCCGCCTGCGCTAACGGGATACGCTGGCGGAGCACCAGTGAAGGGTGATAGGTGAGAATGAAAACAGGCCAGTTAGCCCATCATAATGAATTCATCAGGAATTAACCATGATAGTTTCCAGGGGGAACCGCGGGGAGGTCGACCTGGTTGGGTATATTGGTAGCAATGAGAGCAAGATTTGAGATACGAGAAATCGCACACTACACCGCTGCAAACGATCCCAACATGCGGGGTGGATGTTGGTGTCTAACAGTTTCTCTCACCTCAGTCTAACACTTAACAAAAATAACTAAGGTGGTTTTTGAAGAGTCCGGATTAATGGCATTTCAATTTATTTCAATAGGGAAAACTGCTTTGAGATACGAGCAATTTGACACACGAGCAAGTTTACGGAACGGATTATATATATATATGTGTGTGTGGTAAAGGGACCCAGTGGATGGATAAGGGATCCATCTTAGCGTATGTCACAGCTCGCCACAACAAAACCGTTAGTTTCCAATACAGGAATAATTTCTTTATAAAATGAGGCTGTTTTTTCGAAATATTTCTCGTACTACCTCCTTTCCGAAATCGATGACCTTCAGGGCTATTTTAAATTTAGAGACTACTAAAGTGCTCATCCCGAGTAAATTTCTAAAATTTTTGAGTCTTTTTTTACAACACAGGGGGCAAACGAGCATGCGGCTCACCTGATGGTAAGTGACTACCGCCGCCCATGATCACCTACAACACCAACGGCATTGCAGGTATGCTGCCGGCCTTTTAAAAAGGAATATGCTCTTTACTTGAAGGTTATGTTGTCGTATCGATTCGGAAATACTGCTGCTGGAAGTCTCCATCCAGTTTTTATTAATGTAGATGAAAGAAAGAGAAGAGTATACCGTGCCGATACCAAAAATAGGTTACGGAAACCAATAGCACGAGGAGCGCCGTGATAACGAATGACGTACGATGACGAGGCCTCGGCAATAAATACAATGGTAGTGATTTCAGCTGCTTATCATCAAAACGTAGTTACTGGCTACCACTTGCATTATCTGCAGATAAATATATATTCGATACATAATAAATAAAAATAATAATATAATAGGGTTCCTTTAGGGTTTCCCTATATTTTTTTAACTCGCGGTATTTGACACATATCTAAACTAATGTAGAGTGAAAGAGTTTATTTGTTTGTACGCGCTGATGAATGGAGCTCGGGAAGTCGGAATTGAAAAATTCCTAAATACAAAATGTAAAATACATTTGATAACTCATTTCTTGAAGTAGGTGAAATTTTACGACATGAAGCCACGGGATACAGCTAGTAAATAATAGTCCATTGACATTATAATACACTAGTGATGCGGCCCGTATCTGCACGCGTAGGTAGATAGAATATTCAAAAATATCAACTCTCTGACAATGTAGCTTTCTATAGGTGAAATAATTTTTAAAATAGTTCTGAGTATATCCATTACAAATAAACAAACAATCAAATCTTTCCTCTTTATAATATTAGTGTAGACTAGCTTTTTCCGGCGGTTTGGTCCGCAATCTTGCAAGTAAGAAAGAGAACGATTTATAGGCACAGTACAAAAATAGTAACAATGGCTAATATATATTACTTGTTATAAAAAAAAGTTGTAACTAAGCGATGTATACTCGTACATAACACGATATTTAAAATACATCAGGGTTTTTACAAAAAGCAATAAAAAATACAATCATTTTTGGAATTTTTGTCTGTCTATACGTTGGTTCCAATATCACGCTGAAACTACTGCACCGAACTGAATTCAGTTTTCATAGTTATATTCCTTAAGATCTAGCATGTTTTATCTTGTTACGCCCTTTAGAAGTGGTTATTTATTTCCAAAATCTACATGTACTAGAGGGAGACTTTGTACAAAAGTCGTTTGCTTGGCCAACTCTGTCCCATTCGTGTTTCTACCGTGAAGCAGTTGTGTTTGCATGGCTGTGTTTCGGTTTGAATGGTGGAATATGGCAGTAAATTTACAGGGTACAGAGGAATAACGCCTGAGTCCTCAGGAATGGCAAAGCGAAACAGTATCTGTTATGTTCATGGTACTGTTCATGTCTATAGGTGACGATTACTTTAGTAATTTTGCTAAAATATTACATCGGGTTCAATCGAAAAAGGATTTATTTATTTAACACAAAGACACACACAGCTCTTAAAAACACAACGTACATGCTAAGTCTCTTATGAATACAGCCAATAACGGATTTTATTTATACAAACGAAAATTATAATTCTAAAGCGAGGCAGACGAGTTTGAGTGGGTGTATGCAAGTAATATAAGTGCATGTATGAAAGGAAACATGTATAATAATGAATTTTTTTGGTATTACTACGTTAAAATCTAGACGTTCAATCCAAGATTTGAACACGCTATATAAAATTATAAACGCAAAGTGGGATGCTATCGATCTGTTAGGCCATGTTCCGTTTAAAACAGGAGGTAATAAGAGAATATTAAAATGATTTCATGTACCTTATTGTAATAACAATGTAACTTTTAATGATCCTCTCTTCCGCATGTGCAGACTGTATAATAATTGTAATGAATTGGACGTTTTTGCTTATAGTTTAAATTCTTTTCTTAAAATGGCAAAACAAGTGTCTGAATTTAATATATAATTTTCCTCATTTTCTATTGTTATTGTATATAATATTGAAACTAGTATAAGCTAACGCTGTGCGTAGCACTTAACGGTGTACAATTTTAAAACGATTAGTTATAAAGCTTATTATAGTCAATTTGAAATGTATTACTGTTGCTGTAAATAAATAAATAAATTATCTACTGCATCCACAGAAAAAATGGTGACCTGCGTAGCGCAGTGTCTTTCGTAACGCTCGCGCACGTCGCCCGCTTTGTGTAAATGAGTAGGGTTCGATATCTGGTCTGACCAATTTACGGAATGATCTTTTCTAAATTTTCAAAATTTTGTTTATTTTTTTTTTTAATTTTTAAGTTTGTAACATGGACCTATGGCTCACTATACGTTTTGGGAAACTGTTAGTGAACATTCTTAAATAAATATCAAGTCGACCTCCAGGCGGTTCCCCCTTGAAACATCATTATTAATTCTTGTTGAATCCGTTACAATAGGCTAACTGATCAGTTTCATCCTCACCTACCTTCACTCACTGGTACCCCGCCAGTGTATACCGATAGCGCGGGCGGGGTTACCATACCATTATCATCGACTAATGTGGATTGTACCTAATTGTCGTAATTTATAGAACTTACCTATTTAACTGCTTTAAAATGAAATACGTATTTTGAAAAAAGTTTATTTAACTTAACAACAATTACAACAGACACTGATATAATATTTTAGGAAAAAAACATTTTGCCATTAATATTAATAAAATAAACACATGATTGTAATGTATATATATTGGTAATTAGATAGATAGATAGATAATATATATATATATATATATATATATATATATATATATATATATATATATATATATATATATATATATATATATATATATATATATATATATATATATATATATATTTTCTTTGTTGCACTTGTAAGTTACTTATAAAATAATGTATTTATAAATACTGTGAGCAAGGGTGGACTTATCTCTGACAGAGATCTCTTCCAGTCATCCCAATTCCAATTTTTCCAGTCAATTTGTTTGCATTACTTAAAACAAACAAATTATAACAGACACAGATATACATAGAACTAACAGTTAACAAATTACTTTAACTATTTAAATAAATATAGTTATCAGTAATAATCAGTTAATAATAATAGTCTATGCTTTGAGCAGAGTCAGTACTAGTAGAATTAGGGTTAAACTTACAATATCTTGACTCTAATATCACTACTAATTTAAATATACTTGTCATAGCTACAAAAAAACAACACTTTATAACTTCACTGAAAAACCCTCCAACGGTTCAACGCACAGATGAAAAGAGATCGATACACTCGCTGTCTCAAGCTCTCCCCTAGGGGGGAGCCGGGGAAACCTGTCCGGGCTTTTTTACCCCTAGAGATCGATTTGACGACAGCAAGCTATATATACATATATGCCACGTATTGATGGGGATATTCATCGCCAGTGGTCCTGTCAAAACCTCCCTAAGGCCAGTTATGTTCAGCAGTAGACAGTTAAAAGCTGAACTTCTAATGATGATTTACAAGTCCAAAGTGTAATGACAACAGTGGCGGTCCTCCACCGTGCGTTTTTCAAGGCACTTTCTTCCACGCACAACCACTCTTTGGAATCAACTTCCAGCAGCAGTATTTCCGAACCGATACGACAACATAACCTTCAAGAAAAGAGCATATTCCTTTTTAAAAGGCCGGCAGCACACTTGTAATGCTGTTGGTGTTGCGGGTGATCATGGGCGGCGGTAGTCACTTACCATCAGGTGAGCCGCATGCTCGATTGCCCCCTGTGTTGTATAAAAAAAAAACAGTGCTTCGAAGATCACAATCGTGTGCTCTGGATGCAAAGATGATATAGTTTCATTTAAACTATGCACAGTAAGTAGCCCCCGTACCGCGATATCGTCCCAAGTGCAAACGAAGGAGAAAGCCACTATCGCTGTCTCGGTCACGCGAACACAAAAGAACGTACCAGCGGTGGATGCATCAATAGAGATAAGAGGTCGCGCACACACACACAGGTAAACAGTTACCCAACTACAAAACCTCTAGCCAAATAGTACTCGAGCGACAAGTCCGAATTGTGTGAGAAGCAATGAAGCTATGAATGAGTTTGGGGAATTGTTACATCGCATACAGTCAATGCAGGTAGCAAACGAAAACAAAAGGTAGAGGATTGACGAGAGAACGGGCTACAGTCTAAAAACGGGGAAAGAATCAAATGAACGTGTAAGTACGAGGCAAGTAACTGTGATAAGAAATTGTCAGATATTCTTGCTTTGTTTATTTTCCAATGTGTGTAAAAAAACAAACGGACGTAACACTGTGGAACGTGTACAAAATTTAAGACAGCGATTAGTGAAAGTAGATAAATTAAATAACAATAAAAAAAATCGATCGATATTTTTAAGTTTTATATATGCACAAAAACGGTAAGTGTTTTTTTCTTTTTTTTTTTTAAATAATAATAATTTATTTGCTTGAAATGTGGCCTTTACATATGGACTTAAATAGTTGTGATGTTACACATTTCACCTTATCCAAATGCATGCAAATTATTGTCTTAGTACATATAAGTTGACTTACGTTTTTAATATATAAATTCAATAATTACATAATATATAATACAATAAGTGAAGTGGCGTGAATTTACTGGGTACAGAGGAATAACACCTGAGTCCTCAGGAATGGCAACGCATGGGCGGTGTCATGGTCGAAACAGTATACTCTGTTATGTCCATGGTACTGCTCATGTCTATAGGCGACGGTTACCACTTTCCATCAGGTGGACCGTCAGCTTGTTTGCCATTCTAAGTTGTATAAAATAAAAATCCGAATAATCACTTCAAACACATTGATACATAGTCATTATTACATTTAAAAGATTAAATATGTCCAGAAAGTGTGCATTGTAGACGATTTATTGTGTTTAAATAAACAAAAATAGAATATGTTAAAAAATAAAAATAGATTTGCATACCTTATATAGCTAAATCAGTAAGTTATAACAACTTACTGATTTAGTTATAAATCAGTTAAAAGAATCATGAATTTATTGGATTAACATTTGTTAAAGTGGCGCTACAAGACACGTGGCCATTACCTCATGGTATTTCATATTTAGGTACAAAGCATGTTGATTTTGAATACACCGGGTAGTCAGCAGTAGACACGTTCCGTAAATCTAAAAGGTAGTTTTTCAAAATGTAATGGTAAATAAGCCAATTTGTGTGCCAAATTTTAGTAGTGTATTGAAATTTACTAGTTGTTAAAGTGAAATAAATGCGAAAGTTTGTAACAAGGAATGGATGGATATTTGTTAGCCTTTTAGGTAATCAAAGCACGAGCGTCAATTGTATGCAAACTACCTACAATGCCATGTGTATTTAGTACAATCTGATATTAATTGTATTTTTACGATTCTGTAATGCATCTGGTATTACGCAAGCGCGAAGAAATTACTTTTTTGGCAAAATTTGAAAAACGACCGCAACTCTATTGATCAGACCTCGTGGTGGCTCCAATAGTAAGCTAAAAACGTCCATGAATAAGGTTAATTCACACATGAACCAATACTCTCCAATGTGCCAATGCGAGAGAGATATAATGGTATTTAATACCAGTAAAAAGTATTTACTGTTTTAATAAAGTACAACTTATTATTAACAAATAAATTAGTTGACAAAATATATGGAAGAAACGAAAGAGGTTTGTTTGAATCGAAGCTTTGGCGTTCCATTGTTTTTGCCTACCCTAATAGGAGACAGGCGTGACATATATGTATGTATTGACAAAATAAAGACATTTGCCTGCCGAGATTTTCCCAAGAGACTATAGCATGGGGGTAAAGAGATTTCTTCAGGGTCGGCAACGCGCGCGTAATACCTCTGGTATTACAGGCGTTCATAGGCTACGGTAACCGCTTACCATTAGGTGGGCCGTATGCTTGTTTGCCACCTCAGTGGTATAAAAAAAAAAATTCCCAGGACTGAAATCAAGAACACGGTCCCATGCCAATGATCGCTGAACCCTAAAAATATATTTTATAATCAGATGTAAACCGATAATGATAGTATATCTTATCATATGAGATACGCCATAAAATATTTTACATCACTGCATATTGTATTATTTTTTAGCTAGTGAAAGAATAATGGGGAAAAGGGACAGCAGATTCTCACCGTTCTTAAAACAGGTACGTTGTTTTTAATTAACTGTTATCACCACATTTTCCCGCGTAAATTTAAAAAGCACCCTATGTGTTATACATACATACCTGTACATACAAATATGTTTTGAGAAACAAGTACGAATGAATAAAACTAATATTTTTAATAGTAGAAAATAAAAAATTTGTTAAAATATATGTATAATATTATGCATTATATATAAAAAAGTATAAATAACCATGTTACAATCTGTATAATTAAAACTTAAATGCTGTTTGTTAGAAATCGCGTCGCTTGAGAGTGGCAGGATCCATTCCCTTCTCTCTGTTCATTCCACAATAGACTTCAAATTTCCCTACTTTTTTTAATTTGTTGTACTCAGCTAAATTTTTTGTCTGAAATTAGACAGAGCAATGTTTTGGATCAGTTAGTAAACAATTTTGTGTATTTGTTTTTTTTTTCATGCGACTAAGAATGGCAAACAAGCTGACGGTCCACCTGATGGAAAATGGTAACCGTCGCCTATAGACATGCATAGTACCATGGTTATAACAGAGTATACTCATAGTGTATTGCCCATAATACTCCTCGTGCGTTACCATCTCTGAGGGACTAAGGTGGTATGCCTTTACATCCTATAATTTCATTGATGTAACCCATTCATTGAACCGAAACACAGTCATGCAAATACGACTGCTTCACGGCAGAAACACGAAGTTGACAACTTTTATATAAAATCTCTCTGTGATAAAATAAAAAACTGGTTTTAATACAAATGTTAAAGTATTTTTATATACGATTAAAATTTGCTAAGTTGCCAAAATTAAAATAATTGATTTTAAGTTAAAAATGCACTATTTAAAGTGCAACATGTAAAGCATGCGTGTGAATTTTTAAAAATAGACAAAGAGAAAAGAAGTAAGAGAGCACAAATTATATTATACTTATCCAAAAGCAAAAGAGAAAAAAAACCCAAAATATAGAAACTCATGCCAAACGACTTGAACAGAATCTTCGACGTCTTCTTAAATAAATATGACAAAAATCTTGAATTGGCGAGCGAATTTCTAGGTATTCTAATCTTAATTCCTAAAAATTTTATTTAGTTTAAACATTCTAAGAGTTTCATAGACATACTTTATTAAGACCATTATTTTTCATTCAGTCAAATTCAGCGTGGCTAGATTAGGATTTTCGTAATTTTATATAAGAATTTTTCTATTTGCGATATTTTAGGGAAATGAAATGTTTGGAGAAAATTGAAATAGTTTTGGAGATATTTGAGTAATTTTTTCTGGATATTTTGCGTCTTATCTTTAGTACTTGAAAACTCAGTACAATTATATAAAGTACATAATTACAGTAAAATAAATGACTGAAGGTACATAATGGGAAGAGAAGTAAAGGGAAAAGTAAAAAACGTATTGAAAAACGATTCAATTCTGTGATATGAGTAAAAATCGATTTGTAGAAAAAGTATTCGTCCGTAAATGAAACGATTGATTGATTGCTACTACTCTTGATTGATTCAATTTTGGTCTTGCGTTATTCTTTTCCTCTAAATCTATTCGTGTTTTTACCGAGAAGCAATTATGTTTGCATAGCCGTGTTTCGGTTTGAAGGATGGGATATAGCAGTGAATTTACAGGGTAATTTTTATTTACTCTTTATTGCTCTATTTAAATACTAAAGGCGGTATTATCGCTAAAGCAATCTCTTTCAGACAACCTTTGGGTAGAGAACAAAAAATCTTTGCTCTTTATTATCAAGTCTACTTGCACCTCACTCTTGGTCACACGCGAGACGCGTGCTTATTGCAATAGTTTTTTTAAGACATGACAGTGGAACGATAAACATTGTTGTGGTATCAGAAATCACTACCAGGTGTAGCTACTCTTGTCGTCACCTGAATTAAACACATTAAAGTTTAGTAGTTTATAATTTTGAATTTAATCAAACTTGTATTATAATTTTTACTCGTCGTCGACATATTGTTTACACTCCGTTTGACAATTGAATGACATATTAAATATCAATTCTGACAGATAGTATTGACAGCTTACACAGATACTAAAACACTACATCAGGGTAGGGGTCAGTTGACCAATCGAAACAAATTCGCCAGGAAATTACCAAAATGGTTTCACAGAAAGGGAACAACTAGGATCCATTTTTATTAGTAAATGTAAAAAAACTAAATCACTAATAATAATCTAGTTCTTTTAGCAAGCATTCTCAAGAGAGGATTATCTAATTTATTTACAAACATGTTCAGGATATTGCTGTTAATATTATTTGTTGTTTTGTTGGGACAATTCGACCCTAAACACCATTGATTCCTTCTTTCCCCTCTCCCCCTTTTTCGGTATTAATGAGGTATTTATATTAATATATTTTTTTTTTCAAAAAAAGGCAGTAAGAAGGAATTGCTTATAATAGGGTATCATAAAATATTTTGAAACGTGATATCTGTGACTAATATTTGCTACCAGATTTGGATAACACCTGTATTATGAGTCTCCACAAGGTCACTTTAATATGATGACGATGATAAACAATCATGATACTTTATATCTTTGTTTTTTTTTTATCTTTTGCGACAAAATCTTCATTATTGACAATTCGTATCTCCCTAGTTAATCTATGATTAATAATCTATGTTGTCATGTACTTATATAAAAACGTTTATTGCATAATGCATGTTTCTATGCAAGTATACATAGGTAATACTCGTATATGGAGGAAACTCGTGAACTCAGTCTTCACACATCATGTACTTAGATATAAATAAAAGCAGATATCTATATTCGTTTTTAACTGACTTCAAAACGAAGGAACTCCTTGTATTTTTTTGTTTGTCATAACTAAGGCCCTGGTTGCCTTGATTAAAGAATTTATTTATAATTTCGTCAGTTCTGAAACGATTTGGAAAATTCTTTCTTTTATTTATCTGAAAGGATTTACTTACAAATTGGTTCTATAGTAATTTTATCGAAATCCATTTTGATAAAAAATCAAATGAAACCCGTCTAAAAGTCTAATCTTTCAGATAAAGAAAGAATTTCCAAATCGGTTTATAAATGACGAAGTTTTGAGGTGATAAACGTCCTCCTTTTTTGAAGTAGGTTGAAAGTTGCATGTCCCATCCACACACGTGTTGAGCATGTAGAACAAGAAAACCCGTGCACAATATATTTATAATCTATATACATAGATACCAAATATTCATATCAAGATTGGCAAAAAAATTAATATCGTTCTATCAACTTCTCTTCTCTAGTGCTTTGTGACGGCATCAGTATGCTGCAATATAGTGGGCCACGGCTGCATCCTCGGCTTCCCTGCAGTCCTGCTGCCCCAGCTCCACCAGCCGAATAGTCTAATACCGCTCTCTAAGTCCGCCGAGTCATGGATAGGTAAGCAAATACCTTGAATTGGGGGGGAAGGAATTATTAAGAATGCGGACTGCAAGTCCCAGGTATATTGCTGGTAATTACCTCGGCGTAGTCCACCTGGAAACTATCGTACTGAATACCAGGTGTATTCATTGCAATGGGCTAACTGACCTGCCCTTTCATTCTCACCTATGATCCCTTACTGGTGCCCCGCCAGCGTATACCGTTAGCGCAGGCGGGATTACCATTCCATTATCATCCATTAAAAAAAAAACTACTTGGAATATCATCCTTATAACCATGAAAATCCTTATATTATTTTTAGAAAATTCACACCTCTCCTCTAAAGGAGAGGAGATGGCAAACTAACCCCCGGCAGAAGCACAGTCGGCCGGGGTTTAGAGCCCCAGCGAGAGAAACCGGCGTACAATTCAGCCAGTATCTAAGAGCACCGCTTTCTGCATCTTTCCCGGATGTTAGCCGCCTCGGAATCCCAACCGTCTGAGATGTTGTTCCAGGCTGGTTGGGATAAGATATTTTTATCATTAATGAGCGTATTCCTTTAATTGTGTAATGTGTTAATATTGCAACTGTTATGTAGCATAAAAATATTTTAATTTGGCTATAACGTCGTCAGATAGATGGTGTCGTGGTGGGTCGGGTTATTGAGTTCCCCAAAATATGGTTGAGCGCAATGATAGCTGGCTCACCCGTCATACTCGTGAACGGATGCTGCCTGTAGAGTCCGATCATTGCAACCGATTTATTTTATTGATTTATTTTAATTATATACTATATATACACTAGTGGAAAAAATTAAAGAATTTTGGCGATTTTTCAAATGGCTGTATCATTGATAAAAATGGTCGTATTGAAGTAAAAAAAAAACAGCAATTTAAAGCTTGAAGTTTCTAATTTTGGAATTTTCCAAAAAAAAATTTAAGTAACACGTATCGCACAATCTGAATGAGTATTATTAGAAAAAAAAGTTATATTTTTTTCGACCTTATTTTTGGTGTACGGACTTGAAAAAAAAATTTTCGTGTTAACCACCTTATGGATTAGATAGGTTGTTCATTTAGCTTCAATTTCGTTTCTTTTTGGTTTCGATACGACCATTTCCCGCTGAGCTATCAGACTTTGAATGAAAATGGATCATATTCTTCATTCATCGATATCTCGGAAAACAATAGTTGCACAGAAAATTGACGCTGAGATTTAGAAACTTTAAAAAATTCACTACGAGGTTTTGACACGGCTTTTTCAAAATCGTAAATAATAGGACTTTTAGGGTCTTATAAAAAATCACATGCCACATTGAGAATTCTTTTATTCTATGTTATTGATGATAAAGAAATATGTTCGGCAGTGAGTCTGGACTTAAGTGAGAAGTGATGTAAATTCTATAATAATTAATTTTATGTCCACAGCCTCTATAATTGGTGTGACACTGCTAGTGGGAGGTTTTGTGACCCCGCCGATCATGTCACGGTACGGCCGCAAGATCGCTCATATAGCTCTCACCATACCAGCCCTTGTTGGATGGTTTGTTAGCATCTGCGCCACTACTTTTGAGGTAACGACCCGATTATAGCTTAGTCTTTGATGCTATAGACACAACAACAGATAACAGATGGCAAAGTAATGAAGATTCTTGTCTTTTTTTTATACCACTGAGGTGGCAAACAAGTATACAACCCACCTGATGGTAAGCGATTACTGTAGCCTGCAATACCAGGGGTATTACGCCCGCGTTGCCAACCCTGAAGAAACCTCTTTACTTCCCTTTTGAAGAACCCCATGCTGTAGTCTCTTGGGAAAAACTCGGCAGGGAGTTCATTCCATAACCACAGTGTTCGTGAGAGAAAACATCTCTGAAACCGCGTTGTATGCGACCATCTAGACTGTAGGGTATGAGGGTGAACTCCCTGTGGATGGCGAGCCGTACGATGGGAGAAAGTCTTGTGTTGCCTGTTATCACTATGACTTCCTATTCTATATGACATGGATAACATAACATAAAATATGCAGTACTTTCTGTTACTCATGTCTATATACAACGGTTACCCACTTAGCATATGTGAGCTATCAGTTTGTTTACCATTTTCTATGACATAAGGCAAGAAATATATAGTTACTGACATCCGCTTTGGATAGTCCGAGAAGAAAATTAGTTCGTCTCCGCGGGTTAATAGTTGGTTAATATTGTCTCGGGAAATTTTATAAAATGAAACCACATTTATTCCTATTTTTATTATATTGTACTAAAATTTTATTATATAAAAAAAGAATCCAAAAAGAGGCATCTTGCGCAACAATTCTCCTGAAGACAATAACTATTGTTAATATACTTCTACCACATTTATTATGATAATTTTTAATCTATTATAATTCTTAAAAAAAATCTCGTCTTTCAGGTGCTCTTCATTGGCAGAATATTGCAAGGTCTATCATTTGGTATGCTCAGTCCACTACGGTCCGTACTTATTGGGGAGTACGCCAGTCCAAAAAACAGAGGAGCTTTCCTCACCATGGTCTCCCTGGCCCAAGCCTTTGGGATATTCTTCGTTCACCTGGTGGGGTCTATTCTCAGCTGGCAAAAAACTGCGGTCATCTGTGTGTTCTTCCCATTCTTCAGTTTGATCATGACAATTTATTCACCAGAATCTCCAAGTTGGCTAGCATCTCAAGGCAAATATGACAAATGTAGAAAAGTTTTCCGATGGCTGAGAGGTGACGAGGAAGAACAAGAGTTAGAACAAATGATATGTGTACAAATACAAAATACGAAAGCTAAAACGGAGAAAGAAATAAAGAAGCAGAATTACATCGAGGAGTCGATAGCTACAGTGAGAAAGAGAGAATTTTACGTCCCAATAATCATAATGTTACATGCCTTTTGTATGATCCACTTCTCAGGTGGAACCACAATGGCCTCGTACTCCACAAAGATAATAGGTTTAATAATGGGGCCGGAAGCAAACGCTCACTTTTGGATGATTCAATTGGATACACAAAGGTTAATTTTGAACACTGTCGCTGTGTACGTAATAAATAAAGTAAGGAGACGAACAATGCTGTTCTCAGTTGGAAGTTTGTCAGTGGTTGCACATTTGGCCATTGCTGCTTACGTATACTTGAAGACTGAGAATCTTCTCCCATATGACTCTCAATGGATACCTGTTCTATTGATTAATATTCAAATTGCCGCTGTCGCTTTGGGTATGGTGCCTTTACCGAGCGTGATAGCTGGTGAGGTGATCCCGTTGCAATATAAGAGCATAAGTGGCACAGTTAGTAACTGGTCACTGGCTGGATTTTTGTTTTTTGCATTAAAAACATTCTCGTCGTTAATCGAGAGTGTAGGTATACAAGGAACTTACGTTATATACGCTGCAGTTATTGCTTATAATTTGATCATAATGTGGTTCCTGTTGCCTGAGACTAAAGGAAAGACATTACAGAGAATAGAAGAGGAATTAAGAGGTAGACCTTTAATTCAAGAAGAGGTAAGAAGTAAAAAATCATTAGAGGACCTAACAGATATTAAAGTAAAAGAGTCTCTAGAGAGCTAGTAGATAGGTAGTCCCTAATTAATAAAGTGAAACATGATATATTGATTTACGTCATGTACATTAAATTTATTTAGATTATATGAGTTTAATTGTGAGAAAATCATGACAAAATGTATAAGTATAGGTACAAAGCAGTGATATTTGCAATAAGATTTTTAATATTGTAAATGTATCCTTAATTGTGATATGATTGTTATACTCCACATTAAATTAAGAATTAAATTTAATGTAAATAAAAAACATTAAAATTAATTAAGTATAATAAATTTTATGATAAAACTCGACGTGTCATTAAACATTCCTGAATTGACCTGGAAGATCATTCTTCGCCATCCAATTAGCAATTGAATGAATGAATTTATTCCAAACTCCAAACCACACATTGTGATATCGTCCATCATCATACCGTTAACGATCCCTGCTGACTATAGAACCCCCCTCCCCCATTAAGAAGGGTTTGCTGGTAGTTGCCACGCTTGGCAGGTATGTTGGTTGGTTATCGTCCATACCAGTCAAATATCAATATATTGAAATATGAGCGAGTTCTTCTTTTCGATATTATATATTGGATAACCTTTATCTAATATATTTGTTATTGGGCCAATATACTTTTTTTATACAACTTAGAATGGCACACAAGCTGACGGCCCACCTGATGGAAATGACCTATAGACATGACCAGTACCATGGACATAACAGAGTATACTGTTTCGCCCATAATACCCCCCATGCGTTGCCATTCCTGAGGACTCAGGTACTCTGTACCCTGTAAATTCACGCCATATCGCACCCTTCAAACCGAAACACAGCCATGCAAATACAACTGCTTCACGGTAGAAACACGAATGAAACAGAGGTGTCCAAGCAAACGACTTTTGTACAAAGTCTCCCTAGCGTACCGAATACATTTTACTACAGTAAAATATCTCATTCCTACTAGAAAATGCAACTATTTAATGAACGTAGCTAGTTTTAAAAGAAATAACCGTGATATAAGTTGAATAACATGATTAAGATAGGAACCAATAGCAATTTTGTTCGTAAGTGTCTACTTGAGTCAATAAAAAACTATGTTACACTCATTTCCGGCCAACTCCAAAACAGTGTTATTCATCTTATAACAAAAACAAAGTCGATTACTTGCTTTATTTAAATAAACATGCATGAAAATCCTCATATGAATAAATAAATGTTATTGTTTAATAAAAAAAGAGAAATTTTAATAAAAAAAAAATGTTTATCGAAAAGATCAGCAGTTGGTTTTTACTGTCATACAATCTATTGATAACAGGTAGCCACGAGGGAGTATTATAAACACTCTAGATGTTACAAATTAGAATGTCAACACCTTAACTCACAAATTCAGAGAAGATCTTAGCCGTTAAGACGTATGTGTCTCAAGAATAACAGGAATCAACACGATGTCACTTCATCTGATAGTTTTTCCCTATAATCAGGCTTCTTCCAATACGTTTCTTCAATATGCTGTAGAGTTTCATCCTTTGTCTCCGGCAGAATAGTTATAACAACAACTAATGCGTAAACTATCAGACTACTATATAAACAGTATGTTCCCGAAAGTCCAATACTGGAGAACAAATACGGCAGAGTTTTCATTTTAACAGTAATATTAACAGCCAGGAACAAAACTATTATCATACTACTCACGCCCTTATATTCCAAGGGGAAGATTTCGCCAGCTATAATATTGACTAGAGGTTGTATTCCCATGCCAACGGTGATAATTAGGAAATAAACTAGCGCCACTGCTATTGGGGCATAATAAAATACATTACTGTCTTTGGCGTAAGAGAAAGCAGCTGTTAACAGATAAACTAAGATGTTTAAACCCACAAACATGATAACCATAGGTCGTCTCTTGAATTTTGAATGTACGAATATGCCGCATCCTTTCGCCAGTAATCTCACAACGTCCATGCCAATCAACCAGTTGTATACGTTGATATCGTCTCTTGTGAGCTTATGGAGTATATAGATGCCATGGATATCCATCATCATAGACCCAGACCATACGTTTATGACGTCTAAATGCAACATTGCTATCAGCGGCTTGTAAAATTCTGATTTCTTCGATATGCAAAGCATATATTGACTTTTAGTTTTAATTTTTTTGAGCAATCCAATTTCCTTGTTCGTTTTAGATTCCTTTCTATATATGTCAGCTTTGATCATAGCTTCCAATTCCTCCTCTTCCTCCAGACCTCGCAACCAGTGAAATACTTTTCTGCATTCATCGTATCTTTCACGTGTGGCCAGGAACACGGGAGTTTCGGGTGACATCATAATTATGATTGCATCAAAAACTGTTAAACCCAAACAGAACATTGCAGTTTTGCGCCAAGTCAAAACAGATCCGAGTGTGTGCACTGTCATAGACCCTAATGACAATGATAGAGTCATCATTGTTAGAAACCCGCCCCTATACCTTGGCGTTGTGTATTCTCCCACCAGAATTGGTCCTGACAGACTTGAAATACCAAGTGCAACACCTTGAATGAATCTTGCGAATAGAATGAATTCGGCATCATTAGCAATGACGGTACAGAGCCATCCTATGATCATTATGACACAGCTGATGAGGTTCGCTTTCCTTCGTCCATATCGGTTTAGTATAAACGGTGTCACTAACGCTCCGGGGATTAATGAGATTCCATAGATAGAGGCTGTAACAATACAAACATAAAAATCACTTCGATGCAAAAATAATAATGAACCTACTACTATGTTACTACCTAGAATCATGCAACTCACACAGAAGCATAAATAAAAAAAAAACTAAGTATAACAATATAATTAAAAACAATACAAACTACAAAAAAAAAAGTGCAAGTGTGTGCTCGTATGCGTATGTGTGTCGCAATGTTTTGTAAAATAGGTCCGTGCTCAGCATATTGCTGCAGCGTTTGATGCGATACAGCGATGTTTTTCAACACAAATCAAATACAAATGACAATGTAAAAGTTTAGAAAGAAAAAACTGATAGTTTTGCTCGAGTAAATTCAAATAGAAATACAATTCTTTGCAAATAAAATGTAGCCAAATTTCATGGAGATTAGTTGATAAAAGTTGATAATGTGCCAAAGACGTGGGAAACAAAAAAAAATTACTTTAACAGTTTTTAATATAATATTAGCAAATATACGAAGTACTTTTTAAACAGTACTTACCGATCCATGTTTCTGTATTACTATTAATGACCATCGTTTTATCTTGGCATAGTTGGGGCAACAATATCGCAGAAAATCCCCCAACCAAACAATGTTCCATCATGCTCAGAGACACGCCGGCAGTCACTAAGCACTGCAATCAAATAAGTGTATGTACTAATCTATGTAGTTATGACTTTATCTCTGATGAGCTACTCAAAGGTGATCATAAAAGAAACGTCATATAGAGTTAAAAAAAATGCATATTTTGTTCTGCAAATAAATAAAAAAAAAAACGCTATTAAATTTGCATTGTTTAAAAAAAATTATAACCGGTATCACTCGAGATAATGTAACGATTCTAACGATGGAATATATATATATATATATATATATATATATATATATATATATATATATATATATATATATATATATATATATATATATATATATATATATATATATATATATATATATATATATATATAAATCTTTTCAGACACTTTTTTTATACTACTGAGTGAGGTGGAAAACAAGTATATGGCGTTAATAAGCCCACCTGATAAAGTAGTTACCGTAGCCTATGAACGACTGCAATGCCAGGGTCATTACACGTGCGTTGCCACCCTGAAGAAACCTCTTACCCATTTTTGAAAAACCCCATGCCTCATGCCATTGTCTCTTGGAAAAACCACGCTAGCGAGTTCATTCCATAACCTAAACGTTAGTAAGCTTTCAGGCATTTAGAAGTTATAGTAAGGTAAAGGAATTTGCATAAATATAGGAACTTTGATAACATTACATTTCTCTTTTCAACAGTTGTGTAATTACTTGCTATGTCCGGCATTTCATCCACGTCACAAGGACATATTCATTGCTTATAATTAAATAATTCTATGTTCCTCTCCATACCAAGTCCTACTTGTACGCCAAACAAAACGATTGCTTATGTTTTAAAACACCAAGAGGTAATAATAGACAAATTCAATTTCACGTTCATAATACTTGTATTGGTAAAAACATTGGCTCGCGACACTCCGCTTTTTGCGTTTCTCTACTCTACAAAGCAAATTCCGTCTTCATTCGAAACACCAGAATGAACATCACTTCATCATCAGCAAGAAAATGATAAACTTATCTTCCGAAGAAGGTGACGGTTTTTTTAATGATACAATGATAAGTGCCTTTTATCTGGATTACATGATCTATAGGCAAGCGCACTCCGATTGAAATATCACCATTCTATCGTTATGAAAGACTTATAGTTAGTAGTAACCAAAAAATGGCCTGAACAAAACACAGATTACCTATAATCAAACTTCCTAAATTTAACGGCACTCACCTGTCTATAAATATGGGTTACTTTTGGTAACATTTTAAAGCAATCACTTTTTCTTTGTTCTGTATTAATAAAAAATGTATCAAGCGCTTGTTACGCATAGTTGTGGCCTGAATAATGATACTGGTGATTTTATATCATCTAATAAATTTAAAAAAATATGTAAAAACATTGTTATCTTTTAATTATTCGTGTACAATATACTCGGATAACTGTTTTACATATATACACAATAAACAATAGGTTTTTAACCGAGGAAAAACAATTGACAAGGAAGTTACCAATTCAAAAGGTAAAATTTTTAATGAAAAGACTTCGTATTTATTTTTTTCTATAAAAAAAATATTTTTTATTGCACATATACTGTTGCAGACGATACTACGAATATCTGCAAGTTTTACAATGCCCGTGAAATACATGTCATGTAATAATTTATATAAAAACCTCGCGGTCCATCCCCTGGAAACCATCAAAACCACCAACCATTCAATTCCATTGGACTTCATCACGATGGGCCAACTGACCTGCCTTTTTCATTTTTACCTATGATCCCTTACTGGTGCCCCGCCAAAGCCAAAGCCCCGTTAGCGCAAACGGGGTTACCATTCCATTATCATCCATTTAAAAAAAAATACTAAGACGTCATTAAACAAATCGTAATTAGTCGTCATGATGAAGTCAATCTCAACTTTTGTGTGCCCCGGTGGGGCTAGCCCAGGTTTATTTTCTGTATGGCCGCTTTTGGAAGAAAGGATCTCTGCTCTCTCTCTGACATCAGTCCATATTGGTCACACGCATACTTACGTAGGCGGAATTAAACAAAATAATCCTAATAAACTAGCGAAGTGGACACCCAATTCCATAAATATACCCTTTTGGCTGCCCTTTATGATCCTAGCTTTTTCCAGATTATCGTAATAGAAAGAAAGAATTTATACATAGAATCATACAACTCACACAGTAGATTAAATGAAAAAACTAAGTATAATAATATAATTAAAAACAAAACAAACAACAGAAAGTAATATACTTTATACTAAGTCTATGAATAATAAGTGCAAATGTGTACTCGTGTGCGTGTGTGTCGCAATGTTCTGTGAAATAGGGAGGTTAGTCCATATTGCTAGCAATATACGCTATCAGGTCGACCTCCACGCTGTTCCCTGTCCTCCACGCTGGATACAATTTATCGTTAAATTCATCACGATGGGCTAACTGATCTGTCATTTCATCCTCAGCTATCATCCCTCACTGGTGCCTCGCTAGCGTATACCGATAGCGCAGGCAGGGTTATCATTGAGAGGAGGCCTGCCCTACACCACCTACAGGGCGGGCCGTCGCGTTGGATACTCGGTAGTCGTACAAACGGGAACCCGGGATCCAACATAAGCGCCTCGAGGTACGTCGTGTGGTTTTTAGTGGGTACGAATCCCACACACCCCAGCTGCCCTCCCTCCGGCAGGTGGGACGGTCTTTCCGAAGATTTTCCACACGGAAAAAAAAGGCGGGGTTATCATTCGATTATCATCCATTAAGTAAATATAAAAAAAAGCATATTGCTGCAGTTTGAAGTACTACAGCGCTGTTTTCAACGCCAACCATGGCGTCCCAGGTAGAGATAATATACCACCTATATGTTGATACTCTGAGCGATTACATATATATATGTATATATTTTAAAAATCTTTTTGCTCGTAGTTTCCTTTATAGAACTATGCAATGTAAGAGACCTGGCTCCGGTATGATGTACCTAATAATATTTATTCAAAGAAGTAAATACTTAAAAATACCATAATTTCAGCACTTAATTGTCCATTTCCGAAAATAGATCTCTCTCGTGGAACTCTCTCTCGTACGAAGACCAGTCTAAAGTAAGCTCGTCTTTGTATAATATTAGGAAATGTCTCCCTAAATTCTCGGAGCAGATTACACTTGGCTATTTTTTCCCAAAAATAGACCTCTCTCTCGTAGACTGAGATGAAAAATAGTAAAATCACCTCATCTTTGTATTAGGAAATCGTCTCCCTAAATGACCACTAGGCGTATTGATAAATTGGTCGCACATTGGTCTCGCTTCTTTAGCTTAATAAGTTTTTGAGATATATTAGTTTGAATAAGTCATGCGTATGGCTATTTTTCCTCATATCTCAAGGTCAAGGTGAAAGTTGGTCGCGAAATATACATAAATCGTGTTGGTACACCAAGTAGATATTAAAACATAAGTTTCGATATAGGTTCCCATTTGGGGGCAGATTCGACATTTATCCGGCTAAACCCTTTTCAATTTATTCACTCGGTTTGATCTTTAGTTTTTTTTTTTGCTTTTATTTGAGTCACGAGTTTTATAATATTATCATATGTGGGACTAATTATATTGATTACTTTCTACGATATATGTAAAAGGGATTTAACCTAATACAGAGCCACTTTATCTACTGACGTAACACTTGTGTGATTGTCTGTGTAGAAGGAAGTCGTGTTTTTATACCACAAAAGTGACAAACAGGCATACAGTCTGTGTGACAGTAAACGGTTACTGTAATCTGCACAGTAGCGGCGCCACATGCGAAACCTTAATATATCTTTTTTGAAGAACCCCATACTATGATATCTAGGAACAATCTCGGCAGGGAGCTCAGTCCAGGGCCTTCGCAAAAATGCTTTAAAACTGCACCGTATTGTACTGTGCGGTACTATATGAATTAATGAAAATTTATTTTAAGTAATAACAACATTAAAAAAATAGAAAAAATTACATTTATATATAAAGAGCAGTTGAAATCGGTCAGTGTTATGGAAATGATAAAGGATGCCAATTTAAAGTTCCTGCAGAAGCAGAAACGCTGATTTTCAATTCAAACTCATCACAGCCCGATCCATCAAGATCAAAAATCAACTATAACTATAATATATTATATTATACTGTATTGTACAGTACTATAGCGTACTTTGCTACACTGTTTATGCGTGTGTAGCATGACATACATACATACACGGGGTCACCGCTCGGAACCTGTCTTTCCCCTCGGTTATCAATTCTTCTAACTCTCTAGACCCTTACTGTGCTATAACAATCTCTTTGATAATTCCGTGAATATCCTCATTTTGTATTAACCCTTTGAGTGCCGATAAGCGCCATCGCACTCGTGCGCATTGCAACTAAAAGTGCCACGAGCGTTATAGCACGCGTGAAATCAGTCACTGTCTAGTTCGCTGTAAAAAAAATATTAAAATTGAATAATTTTTGGAGGAGATACAGTTTGTTTTAGAGACAAGGGTAAACGACATCAACACGACAAAGATTTCTTTGGCATTTTTATGTAAATATGAGTAAAAATCAACGGCACTAAAAGGGTTAAATCAAGCGAAGAAACTTCGAGCACAACCCTCTCAGTAGATCGCCTTATGTATCAAGTCAGTTTTAAGGCGTGAACACATCTAGTCACAGTCCATTGTAAAAAAAAAAAAAAACTAAAAGACTAATAGTAGGTATACGCAAAACAAAACACAATGTTATTTTTCTATAATTTTCTATATTATTTGGTACACAATAATTGGCAGTCTGTCCAACCATACCTGAAGTTTCTCACGCACAATTCGACACTTATTTAATTATAATAAAAATTATACATTGTTTTACAACGATCACCTCCTTAATATAGTTGAACAAACGAATACATACACTTAAAATTATATCTGTACAAGTTCATACACACCACACTTATACATTTATTTCAGATCGAACCGAGGCTCTTACACGGCCCACTAAGCTCTCCATGGAAATTCTATATAACTTAAACATAATTATATGGCCGTCGAAAAGTTTATAGCTCTACAAATACACATAACAATAGATAAATTCACTGATACAATTTTATCCTAAAAATAACAAAGAAAAAATTAAGTAAAGAATAAGTTAAGGGCCCAGAATCCCACAAAGCACTCAAAAGCCGAATAAAATAACGTATTGGACGCTCTTGAATATTCTGTGATTATTTCTTTATAAAGCCTACCTACTACTCTGAAGCATTTCCTAAACTTTGTATATAACTAATATTATATAAACATATTGACAGAAAACTGTTTTTTTTTTTTTTTTTTTTTAAACTAATGAACAATCAATGCCACATAATAAGAATAAGAATAATTTATTTGCTTGAAATGTGGTACACAGGTCTTAAAATGGTAATATGGTAATGGTATTACAATAGTTCACGTCAAACAACTCTAATCTGAAGATCCATATAATATTTAAAACTAAGTCGTCGTAGGGCTTACAACTTTCCGTAGTGGGCCGTGTGGAGCTTGACGTGTGTGATGCGATATCTCAGAGCAGAGATCAAAATTATGTATCGTAAGTCGGCGTGAACTTAACATACACATTTACAGCCATTCATTGAAATTAACGCGGTTGGTATTAATGTACTTGCAATAAACGATTACAGGTCACGTGCACGACAGTAATCGGTCTACAGAGGGGGTCGACTCTGAGACGCCATGCTCTATAGATCTATCTCGAAATATAAATCTCCCATTTGGTACCATAGCGAAATTAATAGAAACGATTTCTTTTACATTTAATTTGAAATTATTCCATATAAATCCAAGATTCTTATGAACCTATCAATTTCTTAATTTAAAAGGCAAAATACTGAAATAGCTAACATTTGATTGTACGGGATTTTACTTTTTATAAGGGGATTAATTTGTAATATTTATTTATATATTTATTTACAATTTATTGCAGCTATAATAAAATTAATAAATACAGTAAATATTAATGAGAAGTGATACAAAAGGCTGCCTTATCGCTAAGCAATCTCTTACAGACAACCTTTGAAAGGACATTGAGATAAGACAGAAAGTATGAGTGTCGCATAAAATGTTACTTCCACGAAACGTACCAAATTAAAATATCAATTTTGAAGATAGATTTAGACAATAGCGCCTCACAATAGACTCCCAATGTTGTAAACAACATGTTAATTTCCAATCGACAAAAACCAACCGCGCTTATGAAAATTTCTTATCACTAATAACATTCCAAATGTAATTAAATTAAAACGAATTGGACTACATCGCATGGCTGGACGGGGTGGCGAGCTCCGTCCGTTAACCTGAACACAGTCGCACCAGCCGATTGTTCAGTATTGTCACACTTCAATTTGTCATAAAGCTTGCTAAAAAAAAAAACAATAATTTAAAAGCAACTGTATTTCGATCTCTGTATAAGGCGTTCGTTCTAATGTAACATATAAATAATATAAAGGTGCGTCTTGACCAGCATTATCAAACAATATTACATTACATGTAACATGTTTCTGTGATACACTGTCTTTGTAGGCAAATGGCAAACGAATGTACTGGATAGATATGTCTACATTAACGCTCGCATGAGAGGAAATACAGCACAAGATATTGCTGTCCTATTCTACCTTTTGCACAGGCAGCCACAATGTATCTATTCGTTTTCCACTAACCTAAGAAGACTTACATAATTGTATTTTCTGAGAAATTACATTACACTTTAGCTGTTGATGAAGCCACACCTTTATTTTCTCGTAATTATAATAAAAAAAAAAAAAGAAATGATTGCTATTGACCCCGTAATGTATCCTAAAGTATACAAAAGGTTACCAAATAAAAATGTTAGTTTGATCAAAATAAATAAAATAATGACAGTAGTCATAGTTTGACTATGTCATTAATTGGATATTAATCTGGGACATGGAATATGCAAGCGAAATGTAAAAACACAACAAAAAAAAGACAAAAAAAAATAATGGAACGCAATTATAAATTTATAAAAAACGTTAGGACTTCAATCCTATAATAAATTTTCGACCATTATTTAAAAAAAGAATAATAAAAAAAAGCCCTGGACCTCTTGTATTCCAAAGTATACAGTTATGGGCACGTCTACACCCAAGTTATAACTACTTTGATAATATATTTGATATACAGTTGTAAGAATATAAAAAAACAAATGTGTTTTTATAACTTAATAGTCAATATATTGTCAAATTAAGTTTATTATACAAATAAAATTATATATTTTAAGGCGACGTCGACCTCCCTCGATCTCATTACACTATGAGAGCGCGCCGGCTCAATATACATACATCAAAAACTACATTAACACTATTTACATTATCAATCTTACTTTATGGAACACAATCGCATCCGTTCTCTACTAAGAACAAGGAATTACATAGGAGTTATAAAATATAAACAGTAAATCATATGGTTGTCCCTTTCCTTCTTATGCTAATATTATTAGAAAAAAGAGGACGTGAGATATACTATCAGTTACATTTTTTCTCGGGACTAGTTTTCAGTAGGTTTTATTGGCCGTATAACCCTACCAAATTCAGTACAACTTGCTTGCATACTTTCTACATAAACTGTGTCCAATATATAATCTAGCAATGTAAAATTTGTTGTTGACAAATAATTGACATATCAAACATTTTTTATACACCAGCCTGCTATGAATCGAGAAGAATGACAACTGATAGTGTATCTGTCGTTCTCTTTTTACTAATTATATTTGCATAAGAAGAAAGGAGGCAACGATATGATTTACAGTTTTTATTTTATCATTCCTTCTATGTGATTCCTTGTTCTTAGGTTCTCTATGACATCAGCAGTGTAGTCGTACCATAGATACGTTATTTAAATTCTAACGGCTTCGTACGCACTTGGGATGGTTAGACGAGCGTTGCAAGCGGTTTAAGCGGTAAGCAAGCGATATGATTCATCGCTCGCTTACACGCTAAGGCCTAGCTTATGGAATCGCGAATCTAGACGCGTATTAATTGAACAATACATATTGGTACTTTACGCTGTTGAAATTAACAGGGGGGGGGGGGGTTAATAATGGAGACTGAAGGCCCTATTGCTAGCAATATACCCCAGATCGATCTTCCCGTGGTCCCCCCTGAAAACCATAGAATTCCAAGTGTATTTATCACGATGAGCTAACTGACTTGCCTTTTTCATTCTCACCTGTCACCCCTCACTGGTGCCCCGCCAGCGTAAACCGTTAGCGCGGGCGGGGTTACCATTCCATTATCGTCTATTAAAAATATACGTATTTATCTGAATCAGTCGATATACATGTTTTCGTTACCGCATGCATGATAAAATATACCTGACATAGATCAATTTGTTCTTACTAAAACGCCATCAAATATCCGCGATTCCATAAAAGAGACACGAGAGTCATTATTTTTTAATACACTTTTGAAACCTTCTCTAGTTTTGAGTTATAAGAAAGTATAGACAAGTTCAGAAATACGTTATAATAAACAAAAGCAATTATGTATTGAGTTACTTCTGTATTTTCAATAACTCACTAGACTGTAACGATCTGAAGTCACATAGAATTGCTCACGCTACAAACACCACCAACTTTATATGGTACTTACACTATCATTTCTTGCAAAAATCTTCAATAAATTTAAAAAATTTCCTATAATTTTCAATTTTCATTAAAAAAATATTTACAAAAACTCTTCGATTCCAATATCATTCCTTACCATACCATACCATACCGCACAGTAATACATATTCTATGGTCCAGTATAAAAAAAAAATTGGCCGTATTTCAGACAAGATGGCGGCCTAAGCAGGTCCATAGATTTTATAAGCATACATAAAAATAAAATTTCACACTGAATCCTTATATTTCAGTGTAGTTCGAGCCTTCATGGATTCGAAAGTGTCTAGTCAAATGAAGATAAATCTAGTATACACCCTGTTGTAAGTATACAAACTGTTGTGCAGTAAATTGGTGCATTCATTTTACATCAAACAGGCTGTAAGATTTACAATTGTCATTTATGAGTAATATGTGTTTATTATTCAACTAACTGCTTTTATTAGTCAATAAATCAAAGTAGTATGTTAACAATTGATAGTTCACCATTGAGATTAGTAATTCAAGTATTTATTAAGTAAAATTTACATTGTATCACACAGAAATGGTTCAGAAATCCTATCTATTGTACGCATCACATGACCGACTAACTATATGTTTACATTTATCAACAGTGGAGTTTAAACTCGACATGTGTATCATTATTATAAGACAATTAGCTAACAATATTTGGAGCTCGGGAATGATACAACATACATATACTAGATACCTATTATTACTTCGAACATACAATGTGTATTCTATTAGAAAATATATTTGATTTATTACAAAGGAAATTTGTTACGATAAAAATATTTTTGTATTTATAATTAATTCGTAGACAATTTCATGTTTCAATTATATTTATATCCAAATTCCGACAAGAAACTAGATGGTTTCTTTACACGGTACAATATATAAAGTTATACAGTGGAATCCAGATTATCCGAAACTAATAAAAACAGGTGTATTCCGTATAATCGAAAATCCGGATATTCGATTCCATAGTCAAATCGAACAATACATAATTGAATTTTAATATTTTATTATTACGTACAATGTTTTACATACGTCGTTTAGACAATACGATATAAAAAAAAAATACCTAAATCGGAAAATAGAGCCGTGAAGAAAAGTCCGGATAATCGAATATTCGGATAACCGATGTTCGGATAATCGAGATTTTACTGTATTTATATTTCTTTGTAAATCGTCTAAACAATGAAGTTAGTACTGAGGCGTCATTTTTCTGAACCTAAATTCAATTTCCAAGCGAAATCTGTATTCTAAAGACGAGTATGAACTAAATTTCTAATATATTTCGGTCAAAATTACTATAATTTTAGTTTACGACGGTCCATTAAACAGTGATTACGCGAAACTAAAAAAAAAATAAATTAAAACCTTATTATGCGCCGAGGCCTATTCTTGGCTATTTGTTGCTTATTATAATTAATTTTTACTGTTACTGTTGGAAAAGATGTTGGTCTTCCAAATAAATAAATAAAATATTAGATTAAGAGATAGGATTAGATAAATGACACCTCCGAACCGAGGCGGCGTGATACATTTTACACAAGCATTTTATTATCATTAGTAAGTGACAAGTACAAAAGTAAAAGTATAATGGGATTTTTTTACACTATCGATTGAGGAAACCTTGAGAATGTAATGAACGGTGACACCTAAAAAGAATTTGAGAGTTTTAGATACACCATTGGGACTCATCGCGTTTAATGGACAAATTTACAAGTAAATAGTATATACATATCTGTTTCTTTTATGCCGATATTTCGACGTGGATTGCACAAGGTGCGTGTAACCCACGTGGTGGTCACGAAAGGACTGAAGTAAGCGGCGTTTTCGTCTGGCTGCTCGCGCAATATATTCGGGTACCCTCAGTCCTGTAGTGACCACGTGGATCAATCCACGTCGAGCGTGACACAAAAAAGCAGATAGTGTATGTACTATTTACCTGTAAAAGCTTTTATATCTGGTTAAGTTAAAAGTTAAGAGAAATTTTCAGGTAAATAGCTTGAAACTTGAAAATTTTTTCTGCGCATTAAGTCCAGACAGTGCATTTAAAATACGTGTCAACAACGCGAAAGTTTAAAATGAACTGACTTGATGAGTTCTTGGAATCGTGTACCTTTCGTCTAATTTCACGTCAACCAGGGTACCCGTGAAATAACTAATTAAGATACGGGTAAAGGAACTGTCCACGCGATCCTCGCTTCTATATATTTTGATTTTTGATAGATTTTGGATGATGATTCCATATGTTTGGATTTTTTATATTTTTGCCTTTTTATTTTTATGGAAAGTACAGTGCGTAAAATAAATAACTGGAATATTTTTATTTTTTGTTAATTCATTATACAACATCGCCTTTTTAGGGGAATTAAATTTTAAAATCAATTGAAACCGTTTACTAAATAAAAAAGTAATTATAAACATTGCTTCCGGTTGTGTATAATGGATTATTAGGTACCAACCAGGTGGCAACAATATTCAATTTAATCAAATTAACTAATAAAACAATTATCTTTAATATTTTTCTTTGTTTTATATCCACTAAGGACTTCACCGATTTTGTATATTTAATAAATTAGTTAATTAATATTATCATGTGTTTATTAAGGTAAAGACGTAATCAATCGAGCATGAATCGAATGTGATACACAAAATTATGTATGTATTTATTTATTTATAGTTTATTGTACACGAAGAATACATTAGTACAAATTATTTTGTACAACTTGAACGATTTTCGTTCTAGTTTCCCTGCAAACAGTATGTACTTTAAATATAGATTTTAATGCAAATTCTAGCAAGATGAACGGATGCCTCTTGTAGGGGCTGTTCTTTTAAAAAAATACTACGATTGATCGTAGTTTTCCATACATTTATTTTAAATAAACTTTTGTTTGAAAAAAAGCAACAACCGAGCTTCCTGCTCGTTCTTTTTGGCTGACATTTCATTTCAATGCGAACATGGGCTATAGGATTCATAAAAAAAATTACTATACAAAAATACCTCTAATCAAGTTTACTTGAATAAAAAATATTTTTCAAATTTATTTATTTTTACCGTAAAACAGTATTTCAAATGGTACGCTCCTTAATGGATTAACTTTATCGCATTACATGCTGACTGGCAGCTACGCTGACAATGAATAAATAAAAGTAATCTGAAATCAACTCTATTTCAAAGACTTAAAAACTCTTTTAAATTGCACTACTTTGAATGTTTAGTTTTTGTATGTTGGTAATAAGGTAACGGATAACTTATGCTGATGTTTCACTTGATTTTGCTCTTAATAGTTATTTTTTTTATTTTTTTATTTATGTAAATAAATTTGTATGCCTTCTGTATATATTATATAAGCAAACAATGTACTTGTTATTTACCTGGCATTTGTTTCATAATAATTGCAATGTTTTTGCAAAATGATTGACTGATTGACTGACTGATTGATAGACTGACTGATTGATTGATGGTAATTTTTTTTTATTTCATCTATATTATAAATAACTTATTCTCGTTGTCTGATTTATCAACGTACAGCTTAAATATTTTCTACCTTCTTTCTTATTTTTTTAGGACATCTTAGATTTTTTTTTATTACAACACGACACGTGATCACACCATCTTGAGTGAACAGTTTGCCAACTCTTACGTGAACGGTTCAAGGTAAGAGTTGGCAAATTTATATATATATATATAAATTTATAAAAAATACTTATTTTAGTTTAGCACTAGTACTGCCTACTATTTCCTATGACACTGCGTTAGGTTGACTGGAAGAAATCTCTTTTACAGATAAGTTCGCCTTTACTAACTTTGTTATTAACTTATTGTTATTACTGTATGTTTTAGTACAATAAATAACTATTGCACTTAATAGATACAGCGATTAGTTTAACAACTTGTTAGCAAGGGAGGGCTTATCTCTAAAAGAGATCTCTTCCAGCCAACCCAGTGCAGTTAGAGAGAAAATAATTGGCGGGCAATCCATTGCAGGTTTTCATACATCAAACTTATTTGTACGCGAGTGTCTTTTGTCTATCATGTATGGATGTAGTCGCTGGCCCAACACCCTGGTACGATATCGCTATGAATAATATATCATTATTCTATGTTATTCATACATTTTTGTACATTCCAAATCACCTATTCCCTGTCACAATGTTAAATTTGTCAAAGCAAAATTTGGGCAGTTCTGCAAAGTATTTTTATTTCTATATCATTATGTCCCACGGCTTTGCTTGCATGTGGTGTTTTATTTCAAACGGAAATCGGGAATTTCCCGTCTCAGTATTACAAAATATTGATAATAGCTATTACTAGTAACATATTCAAACGAAATATTCATAGTAGTTCTTTCCAAGGGACTACAGATATCTTAAACCGCGGGATATCGTTAAGGTAACACATAGGATCTATGAAATGATGGTATAAGGCAGGGGGAAGCACAAAAGATCCGTATGGGTCGACGTGCAACGGCTTAGCTGACCCCATATGCGAAAATAACTTTGTCCGCATGGAGTTCAATTATATTGCAAACCCCAATTTTATATCAAAGTTGAAAGTTTTAAAAATAAGACAATAATTAATTATATAATTTCTAGCTGACATAATACCAGACTTCCATGCAAAGTTACATTCTCTACTTGACTCCCTCAGAGGGAAGACTCAAAAGTCAATTGTAAATATTGCAACTAACAAATTTACACGTAAACCAAATCGCCCCCATTTCACTCCGCCAAGGTATGGAATTTCTAAAAGCTGTTAAAAAAGTTTTGTTTTTAATTAAAAGTCAAAAAACAAATTTTCATACTTTTAAGTACAAAAATAACAGAATTTCTATACAAATTTTCATCCCGCATTTCATCTCTTTAGGGGTGAAATCTCCAAAAATGCTGAAAAATATTTTATTTTTAATATGAAAAATTCAAAACTAAAGTATTGTACTTCTACCCTCAATTATAACTCCCATACAATTTTTTTACCTCTTTAGGGGTGAATATTTTAAAAGTCAATAAACATATTAATTTTTGTTTTGAACAAAAAACCTTATATTAAAATTTAAAGTATTTATTTTAACTTCTAGTGACAAAATTCTATACAAAATTGCAACCCTCATTTTTAACCCCTTAGGGGTTGAATTATCAAAATTCATATTGTTCACCTAAACTATATAAAGAACCGATCTGCTTTATTTTCAATTTTATTTAAAAACCAGCAGTTTCAGCTGTACGTTGATATATGAATTAGTCAGTCAATCAGGATCGATTTTTACATATACATATATAGAACACGTTATAAAAGCATCAATGTCAAAGGTCCATAAAATTGAAATCCAAAAAAATCCATATTCAATGTATTTCACAATGATCCAAATGAATGTTCCAGAATTTGCATTGCAACTGGCACTTTTACTCGTTTTTTTTTTCTCTTTCATTAAAATGTAGATACAATATCTGTCATTATTTATAATAATAATCCCTTGATAGTGGTTATAATCAAATTTAAAATGTCAAATTGACTTTTTGTAGATTTCAACTCCCCAAATCAGTACTTGACCCATGGAAAGAGTGTAACAATTCTGTTTACACGTTTACTAATTACTAATGGGACGCTTCATACACAGACAGTAAACAACTTGGCCATTTTATCATATTTAAACATACGAACCAAGATATCGCGACCAGCTATAGTGTATTTATAAAAACCATTTTTATTTAAAAGTCAATTTCCTTTATTTCTCATTTATTTAACTTCAGTTAATCAGTACGTTATACATTTACAGTTTATTATATAAATATATCTCTAATTGTCACTGGTAATAATATGTAATTTTTCATATAGGGCAACACACTGGATGGCTGAATAACAATGTATCATGTAATTTGTCATTAAAAACTGTATGATGTTTCCATATTACTCTATTGCGGGTATGTGTACAACGATCTTAACAATTCTAGAAGTAAGACCATATAATGTGCCTAATTCCGACGTACAAATTAATCTTGAGATCATCGATATTAAAAAAACTCAAGATAAATATTAAGCCACTAACAAGCGACATTGAAAATAGATCGCATACAAGCAGATCGTGCACTCGCTTCTAACCAATAAGTGATGTTTGACAAATGCCCTCTATATGTCTTAACGCAAAACGTAACGTCCCTAACATCGGAAGGACAAAGTTCCATATCTTTCAAGTTACAATAATTCATAAACTGTATCACGAATGAAAAACAATTTTCGACTCCACTCATGGCACCGATACCTACATTACATTACATTAGTGACAGTTTTAAGTGCAAATTTTGTAGGGGACAGTGAATGTGGGATGTTCGTATATCGATGCGCGGGGGGTACAGCAGTGCACCGGGCCGGTCGCGGCGGCGGCGCTAGTGCGGCTGCGGCGGCGGCCGCGGGGGGCCGCGCGGGCCGCACGCGCCGCACACGTAGTCGTCGTCCTCGCGCAGCGCACCGCGGCTCAGCCCCACGCAGTGCATGTGGAACCACTGGTCGCACCCGCCGTCGCACTGCACCCAGTCCACCTTGCCTGCTCCACGGGACAGAGGGGGGGGGGGGGGATATATATAATACAGCTATCTCCATATTGTGACCTGACTTCGTCCTCACCATCATCGAAACATCCCTATTGTCAAATGACCACCAAAATACATCCAACCAGGCCTTAAGTATTACACGCTGCTCGAATGCAGTTGTTTTTAGATTTAAAAAGTGGGATATGGCATTGAACTGCAGAGTTCAGACGCCTAAGACCTTCAAAAATTATAATACATTGGGCAGTAAAATAAACAGTCGCAAAGTACTCCGCGATATCCATGTTACTCGTAGGTTTTTTTTATACCACAAAGGTGGTAAAAATACAGCTCGTCTGATGGTAAACGGTCACTGTAGCCTATGGACGCCTACACCTTTAGATAATGGTACCCAGTTCCTATTATCTTCATGGTCAGTCCCACTACAACTATAGTAACATCTAAATGGTAAATACGCTACCGGTAATACACACACAGTCGAACAAGTGTATTATATGTGTGTGTGTGTGTGTTGCTGATCTTTCGTCGATGAGTCTTTCTGCGAAACAACGAATCTTCCGCGCAATATAACCGATAGTAGCAAATTATATGTAATATCGATATTCCGTCGTAGATATGACGCAAGCCTATATATAAGAGAAAGACACATACCGGTGGGCCGTAAGCAGTCTGCGGCCGCGCAGTCCTCGTCATCCTCCGCGGACGACGGCGACGAGCTGCTGCTGCGACGCTCGGCCGCCGCTGCCGCCGCCGCCGTCGCTGCTCGCCGCCGACCAGTATTACCAGCGCCGCCACCTACCAGTACACAAATATTACAATAACGTCAATGAACGCAGATTTCGTATGTAATATATTTTTTATATACTTGTATACTGTTTCGCCAATGATGCCCCCCATGCATGGACATTCCTGAGGATTTAGATGTTATTCCTTTATACTCTGTAAATTAACCCCATATCCCACCCTTCAAACCGAAACATAGCCATGCAAACACAACTATTTTACGGTTGAAACACGAATGAGACAGAGGTGCCAAAGCAAACGACTTTTGTACAAAGTCTCCCAAAGAGACATTGCAATTTATACGTATGAATCGGTATAAACTCACCCAGCCTGGACTGTCGCGCGTGTTTACCCCTGGTGGAGGCTGCGAGTCCTCGTTTGCGGCGCTCCTGTCGCGCCATGTAGTGCTTCCGCATCATCAGGCCGGAGCCCGACGACACACCCTAGCATAAAAAAAATTGTTAGAAAATTTATAATTACATCTTTATTCGTTTCAATTTTCAACTCAAAAACTGACCACATACCTGTTTTCTGTTTAGATAATTCGTCGTGGTTGCGGAACCGCGTTTTAATGTCGTCTTTGGTGCCGCTGTCGCTGTAAAAGAAATAATTTTTAATAGAGGCTCTGCAACTCACGCTATTCTATAGTGTAGTAAAGGATACTAAAGGGAGACTTTGTAAAAAAGTCAATTGCTTGAGTTCCTCTGTTTCGTGTTTCTACCGTGAAGCAGTTGCGTTTGCATGGCTATGTTTCGGTTTGAAGGGCGAGATATGGCGTGAATTTACTGAGTACAGAGGAATAACACCCGTATCCTCAGGAATGGTAACGCATGGGTATCATGGGCGAAACAGTATACTCTGTTACGTCCATGGTACTGCTCATGTATATAGGCGACAGTAACCACTTTCCATCAGGTGGGCCATCAGCTTTGTTTGCCATTGCCAAGTTGTATAAAAAAAAAAGTATAATATAGAATCAGCAAACTAACGTCAAATCGTGAAATCAAAGCGAAACGTCAGTGCTAAGTCGCTCCAGATATAATAACTCGGTAATAGAAACGTGATTAAAATAATCACTATCATCATCATCATCACTACATAGTATAAAACAAAGTCGCTGTCGCTATCTGTCCGTCCCTATGTATGCTTAAATCTTTAAAACTATGCAACGAATTTTTAAGTGGTTTTATAATAGAGTAACTCAAGAGGAAAGTTTATGTGTATAATATATGCATAATATTGTAAAGAAACACTGATAAATTTAAAGGTTTCTAATGTGATGTCGTAAATAAACCCATGCTTTTACACTTACATTACAAACGCTGGCTGAAATGCTATAAATAACCCCACGTGATAAACAAAAATAATGTACTACAATATTGTACACCTTAAAAAGGTCAACAAAAAAGTCCGCGATGGTATATGTCTATTTATTAAAAATAACCGAAAATAACCATTTTTTATCATTTATATTTTGCAAGAAAAATGGCTTACTTACGAAGTAATTTTAAGCAATACAGCATTAGTTTTTATCCAATTAAGTACCTTAAATACATTGTACATTTAATATAGATCATTATGGCCGTTTATAGCATGTAATCTTCGTCCTATAGCACTTTATCATTTTTGTATTGTCTAATGACAAAAAAGCTGTAATTGTTATTTATAAGGGCATTCTGTAGTAGGTAGGTATATTTAGTATCAGCATTGCACCCGTATGAAGCCGAGGCGGGTGGCTAGTTATACAATATTTCGTTAAGGACTAACGGCGTTAGAGTGGTGCCGTGACCAGGGTTGTCTGTGTGGTACCTGCGTGCTGGTGGTGCTGGTGGTGCTGGTGGTGCTGGTGCTGGTGGTGCGGCGGGCGCGTGCGCTTGAGCGGGTGGTGCGGGCGCGCGGCGCGCTGCGGGCGCTTGCGGCGGCCCGCGTCCAGCACGCGCGCGCCGCGCCGGCCCTCCGCCGCGCGCGCCGCCCACACCGCCGCCCACACCTGCGCCTGCTCCTCCAGCCGCACCTGCCACCAATATTGCCCATCCCATCATTCGCAGTCATGCGCCAATATATCTAATTATCATTTCAACCAACCTAACTCTACAAAACGCTCATTTCGCGTTTTATTATTAACGCTAAATTTAGACGCCAATATTTTTTGTTGATGGGTGATAATGGAATGGTAACCCTACCTGCGCTATCGATATACACCAGCGGAACTTATAGGGAAAAGGGATTGTTAGTAATGGAGAGTAAAAATCACAGTGTAGGACGACCCCTCAGTAGATGAAGTGACGACCCAAAATGCATGGCAGAAAGTCAGTAGATGCAAGTGGCTCAGAACCGTTCTTTATGGCAGTCTATGGGGAAGACTTATGTCCAGTAGTGGATAGATAATTGTTGAAAAGATGATGATTAGGTCGCCAAAAATATGCTAAATGTGGCGCTAGAATTACAAGTTATATGACGTCAGCCAATTAACCCGTAAGGATATGATTAATTAGAGATAAAATCAAAGGAGCAGTACGTACCTCAAGCAGGTCGCCCTCGAGCATGAGGTCCTCGAGCTTGTGCAGCAGCGCGGGCGGCAGCCGCGCGGCCGGCGATCGCGGCGTGGCGCTGTACGCGTGCTCCACGCTCGCAGACGACCTGCGGCACGCACAACCACGGTATGCTCAATCACAACACTTCATCATAACAAGTATTTCAAAACACAAAAAAATATAATCATTGTTCTCGAGTACGTTTTTTCTTCTTAGTGAAGACCTTATTGAAAACTAACTTATAAACTTAAAATAACATTTTTTTACTTTTTTTATATTAAATAACAATTCCAACTCTTTACAAAATTTCTGTTTTAAATGTTTTTTATTTATTTTTCTAAAAAACAAATAGACTAAATTTTCAAATACAAATTTGGAAAGAAAATTTACCTGGGATTTTGTGACATACTGTGAGAGTCCTGTGCTCGTCCTGTGGCCTTCTTTAATTCGGCATTTAATTTGTCCGCTTTTTCTCTGTTTGTCTGTACATAAAAAACATAACGCTTTAAAAGATGAAAAAAATATACTTTTTAATAATTAATCAGAAACAGAATTGTGAACTGTAGTGTATAAAGAAGTTAATAATTTTCAAACTTCTTCAAATAGTGTTGCAAAAGAAAATCACTATCAGTCTTTTTTTTAAAGGATTCTAATACGGATTTAAGTTATAGGAAATTACTCTTTATTTGATAAAGTATCAAAGAAACAAACATTCAAATTGGCAAGCCCCTATTTCGAATTGGTTTGCCAATTTGAATTTTTAATTTATTATATAGAGATATATAACAATTCATGGGCATTGTAAACTTTAATTTTATGTCTTTATATGTCAGCCAAGCACTTAATATACCATTATGACTAAATCACTAAAAATTCTGAATTACACGATACAAGCTTGCATGCCTAGTGTACAATTCGTAGAGTTAATCATCAATGTAGATAGATAGATAATTTCTTTGCACACTTACAACACACAAATCACAATACAAACATACACAGTAAAAAAGCAAAATATATATAAAACAACAATTTCCTTGTTTCATGCGTGTGCCACAGTAACACAAAATGGTCACAGCTATAGTTTATTGCTTTGCCGTCAAACGAGCAAAACACTGATGTTCTGTTGTAGTCAAGAGTCAATGTAAGTGTTTTTAGCAATATTCACTTGGTGTGTGTGCGTGTGCGTGTGCGTGCGTGCCTGTACCTGTGCGTGTGTGCGTGCGTACGTGTGTGCGTGCGTGCGTGTGTGTACCTGCGCGTGCGCGGGCGGCGGGTCGGGCGGGCCGGGCGTGTCGGGCGTGCCGGGCAGGCAGGCGAGCGCGGGCGCGGCGAGCGCGGCGCGCGCGGCGTCCTGCCACGCCATGGCGCGTTCCGTCACGCACTGCAGCGCCTCGCCCTCCGCCAGCCGCACCGGCAGCTTCTGCAGCCACACCTGTCGCACGCAGTGCCACACCTTCATTTATTTATTGTACAATAAAACCTTGTACTTTTAATGACGAGCTTAGTGCCATATGGCATTCTCTACCAGCTAACCATTAGGTAAAAACAGAAAGTGTATAAAGGGGCAGATGTGGTGAAAAATATGTGACAATTATAGTAACACATTAAAATAATCATATATACATAAGAAATGTACATATAATACTTATAATAAATATTTATATATAGATATACAATGTAATATATATAATATAATATGATATATATATATATATATATATATATATATATATATATATATATATATATATATAATCATAATTTTTAATCGCATCCCAATCGTCAGTCAAATGAATAGAACACTTAAAATTTCCTCTAAATATCTGACACGCTCGAATAACTTTTTTAATCTGCCCCTTTTTACAGCCACCCACCCCCCACTAATTAATCGTCGGATTAATATCTCTCGGTTATCAGAAAAGCACTGCGCATATACACTATGTCTGATGCGCGTGATTTGTACACGCGCTTCCAACGATAAACATTATGAAAGTGTTCTTATAAAATATAATGAAATACATTTTAATATTTAATAAATAAATTAATTAAACTCATCATATTATAATCCTACTGATTCTATGCATTTTTTACAAAAAAAATGAGTTTCCCATCTCTTTTCTCAGCTGAGATTACATTCCGAATCATAAAAAATGACTATGTAAAAAAAAATTAAATGACATAATTGTAAGTTGTCGGTAAATAGAAAGGAGAGTGACCAGTAGTGCGAGGATGCGGTCGAGCCGCGGCCGCTTGGTGCGCACGCAGTCGGGGCACAGGAACTTCGGTTCCACCCGCTCCCGCTCACGCTCGGGCGACTCCTCACGCTCCTCCTTGGCCGCCGCGATGCACGACGCTACACATACAATCCATCGCTATTCACGTTTGCACTCTACTTAAAAATACTGGAAGGAGACTGTACAAAAGTCGTTTGCTTGGACACCTCTGTCCTATTAGTGTTTCAACCGTGAAGCAGTTGTGTTTGCATGGCTATGTTTCGGTTTGGAAGGGTGGAATATGGCGTGAATTTACAGGGTACAGAGAAATAACACCCGAGTCCTCAGGAGTGTCAACGCATGGGGGGTATCATGGGCAAAACAGTATACTCTGTTATGTTCATAGTTACCACTTTCCATCAAGTGGGCCGTCAGCTTGTTTGCCATTCTAAGATGTATAAAAAAAAAATTTAAAGTGGAATAATAATGAGCACCAGGTAGAACACCATAGCTAATAATGAACTCATCATATTCCTGTCGATCCATGAATCTATCATAGGTAATTCTTGATGTTTTCATCACAGTGAACCCACCATTATCCTCGCATGGATGAAATGTCATCAGAGTAAACCAATAGCATAAGCAAGATCTTTCATTAAATTTCCATTCATTAAAATATTTTTTTAAGTGAATAATGCTACAGAATTACAACAAAGGCAACTCTAACATTTTAGGTAACATAAGTAGATGGCTACCTATATCCCGACTACAAGAGCAATTTAAGGAATAGTCTTCACTAATAATCACAATATCCATATAAAATGAGCCTTCGAGCCGGATCTAGAACTATCATTCTATTCTTCCTTTGTTCCTTTTAACCAGATTAAAAAACTGACTTCCTTTACTATTGGCTATTAACATCATTATCAGCCATTAACCCTGCGTTGCTGAACATAGGCTTCTTTCTATTGGAGAGTGTAGCTTTGGGTGGATAATTCACTAAAATTTGTCTTGTTAATTTAGAGTCAAGTGGATATTGTTATATGGATGCGATGTACAAACCGTGAAACCAGTCCTTGCAGAGCTCACACTGCGTCATGACGCCGTACTGCCGCTTCTGGCACAGGCAAAACGTGACCGCTGCGGCCGCGCCGCTCGCCGCACTCGTAGGCGACGCGCGGACTTCCTTTCGCATGTTCCGTGCTCTGAAATCAAATGGAAAGTATTAAGTAAATTCTTTTTTTCCTACTCAGCTTTTAGACTGTTATACTTGTAGATTTGTAATTAATGTTAGCCAGTCGAACTCCGTTTTGAAGTGCAGAGATTCCTAAAGTAATCTTTGCCAATTAAGAAGTTATTTTAATGAATTTGTAAAAAAAACAAAGCATACTGAACTCATAGTAATTACTTTAACTGATAAGACTTCATTCGTACATTCGATATATTTGTCTAGTTAAGAATAGTATCATAAGGCAAAATATCTTCATTCTTCTCATGTTCATACAGTTGACACTGACGAAAACAGATCAATCGATTTGTTTCCTACTTGTTTAGGGAGGCTGATCTCATATCAAAAATTCTTATTTTTCGAAGCCAATGCGACTCAGTGCCCTTTTCATGCTAGCAATATTAACATGATTTGTGATTATACACAAGTACCTGAGCTCCTTGATGGCGGCGAGCTCGCGGTGCTCGGCCTGCTTGAAGGCGGCGACGATCTCGGTGGGCGTGGAGTCCTCGCTGAAGTTGCGCAGGAACTGGTCGGCCTCCAGCGACGACGGCGCGGGCTCGCCGCCGGCCGCGCCGGCCGCGCCGGTCGTGCCGCGCCCGCGCCGCCGCGGCGTCCACGTGCTCTCCGTCCGCGGCGATAGAGCTTCTAGCAGCGAGTACGGCCAGCTCTGCCAGCAAACAATATTGATTTACGACTGTGATTCACTGCTGATCGCGAACACCGCGGTATAAAGGACAAAATCGCAATCATCCTCTTTCAAAAACTTTTGTAATATAATAGTCCTACTTTTACATTTTTTTTTAAAGAATCAATCTTCAAGATCCCTCCTTCTATTGCTATTCCAATTCCACCTAATTTGTACATTAGTAATGTTACAAATATAAAAGTTTGTAAAGATGTCACGCTTAAACAGCTAAACGGATTTGATTAAAATTTGGAATACAGATAGGTCACATCGTAACTAAAGATATAGAATACTCGATGTACTGACTCACATAGATAAAGCTGTAGAAAAAGCAATTTTTTTTCTATATACTTTTGTTGAACTTATTTCCTACCCAGTACTTTGCCTAGCATGGGGTCATAGTTATATTGTCTTTGTTTAAGGAAAATAAAAAAAAAGTAATTTTATTTTACGCATTAATTAATAGTTGGACTCGAAGGACCAAAAATTATCTAAAATCGATAACAAGTATATAACACATACCTTTTTTAGGAACATTTCAGCGGCTCCTCTTTTCCATTCCTTTGCAGACATCAACGCAGCCGCGAGTTGATCTTTCTCGTATAAATTCAATGGAATAGATTGACTTCGCTTCACTAACACTTCCACACTATGCATATAGGGGTATAAGTCTTTGGACTGCATCTCTTCCACCTGGAAAGCAATATATTCATACATTATTTGAAAATGTACATTTATTTCGATTGTACGTGTGGTCCCGGTACAGAATGGGCCACCCCTTTCTTTCCTGTGAGTGTCGTAAAAAACGACTAAAGGAATGTAATAGTAGAGGGGCAGGTCCTCTTAAAACATTTCTAAAAGCCTAGATTCGGTTGCCAGCTTATTTGCTAAGTCTGGCAACTAACAATACTTCCCTTATAGGAAATGCTTATTTTCAGCTGTTGATAGTTATCAGCTGAAATGTTATATGTAAATTTTCTTTTATACAACTTAGAATGGCAAACAAGATGACGGCTCACCTGATGGAAAGTGGTAACCGTCGCCTATAAACATGAGCAGTACTATGGACATAACAGAGTATACTGTTTCGGCCATGCGTTACCATTTGTGAGACTCAGGTGTTGTGTGTACGGTGTAAAGTGAGTGCGACACATATGAAGGTTTAGTTACCTTGGCGAGCCAGTCGCGCGCGTGGCTGACGGCGGCGGCGAGGGCGTGGCGCGAGGGCAGCGCGGCGTCCACGTCGTCGGCCGCCGCCAGCAGCGCCGCCAGCTCGCCCAGCGTGCTGTACTGCGCCGCGCCCTCCCCGCCGCCACCAGCACCGGCGCCAGCACCGGCACCAGCACCGCCCGCCTCCACCAGCACCGCGCGCGCGCGGCTCTCCCACTCCTCCACTTGGCCTGTTACACCAACACATACCCATTATATCAATACTACAGAGGGAAAGGATTTGTTAACAATGAAGTTTGAAAGACGGCAGATTGCTAGCAATATGCCCAGCACAGTGTTTGCAGAATTTGTTACAATGAGAAAGAAACGCCGCAGCACATAATTAGTAGCTGTAGCCCATTAATATATAAACGGTATGCCTGGGGGGAGGGGGGGGGGGGTTGTTAGTAAAGCGGACTACTAGTCCCATTGCTAGAAATATACCCCATTAGGTCGACCTCCACGTGATTCCCCCTGGAAACCATCGTGAACAATTCTTGTTCTACTTCATCCTCACCAATCATCCTTCACTGGTTCCTCGCTGGTGTATACCCATAGCGTGAGTGAGGTTACCATTCCATTATCATCCATTTAAAAAAAAATTGATATTACGAGGACGGAAAAGGATTGTGAGTAATGGAGACTGAGAATCCCATTGCTAGCAATATACCCAACCAAGTCGACCTCATCGCGATCCCCCCTGGAATCTATCATGGTTGATTCCTGATGAATTTATCATGACGGACCTGTTTTCATTCTCATCTACCAACCTTCACTGGTGCTCCGCCAGCGTATCCCGTTAGCGCAGGCGGAGTTACCATACCATTTTCACACATAAAAAAAAATACATTTAACGATCCACTTCAGTAGCCTATGTCCTGTGAGATACGATTCGTAATTGGCAACAATTGCAATACAAAACAATTAGCACAGTTATACAATTTGAAACATTCTCAAATATAGCACATTCTCTTTCTATCTCTTTCTCTCATACTCTCCCGCCCGGTCTCCATCTCCTCCATGCCATCTCCTCTCTACCAGTCCTGACCTTTGAGCTTGTAGAGCATGGCGCGCTCGGTCTCGACCCTGTGGTGTGGAACCACGGAGGCGGCCTCCTGCAGCAGGCGGTCGATGACTTCGGGCGTGAGCGTGGAACAATCCTCGCGGTAGGAGCGCACCTCCTCGAGAAACTTAACCTGCTGTAACCGCGCCTGCAGCGCCGGCAGCTGCGGCAGTACGATGCACAGCTGCGAGCCCAGCTCCACCACCTGGACAGGTTTTTTTATGCAACTTAAAATGGCAAACTGACGATTCACTTAATGGAAAGTGATAACCGTCACCTATAGACATTAACAGTACCATGGACATAAAAGAGTACACTGTTTCGCCTATGATACCCCTATACCATGCGTTGCCATTCCTGAGAACTAAGATGTTATACCTCTGTACCCTGTAAATTCACTGCCATATCCCACCTTTCAAACGAAAACACAGCTATACAAACAGCTGCTTCACGCTAGAAATACGAATTGGACAGAGATACCTAAGCAGACGACTTTTGTCCAAATCCAAACTCCCTCTAGTACATGCATGCATGCATGAGAGGTAACATGGGCACCTCCATGATATCCATGATGCTGTTATTGTCTATAGACGACGGTTTTACATCAAGTGAGTCGTCAGCTCATTTGCTATTCAAATTACGATAGAAAAATAATTCTAAATAGATATGACATTAGTGCTGCAGATTATATATATATATATATATATATATATATATATATATATATATATATATATATATATATATATATATATATATATATATTCCCTCATGTAAGCAGATCAGTCTTTTCCAAGTCTTGGTTGAGGAGATCCGTGGCTCGACTCTCGAACTCTGATGTTTGTCGTAGTACCTCTTTTACCGCTGAACCTGGTAACAATTTTATATATTTAAAACATATTGTTACAACTAAATACAGTGAACGCTCTATATAAGCAACCTCTTCTATAAGCAACATTCTTTATATTTTATTTACTCTACTCAGCTTAGTTAGTAAAAGAAATAAGTAAAAATATTTTCCAGACGGTATTTTTATACTTATTTTTTTCCTATAAGCAACTTTTACCAATAAAGAACTTTCTTTATTGAAATTGGTTCAAATGAGTTGCTTTTATAAAGAGTGTTCACTGTATATATAAATGTAACATAATTTTCAAATTTTGTTTTACACATTCTCATTTTTTTTTATACAACTTATGATGGCAAACAAGCTGACGGCCCACTGTCGCCTATAGACATGAGCAGTACCATGTATATAACAGACTGTTTCGCCTATGATACCTTCCATGCGTTGCCATTCCTGAGGACTCAGGTGTTATTCCTCTGTACCCAGTAAATTCACACCATACAGTATATAAGAATTAACCACGTAAATTACGCGGCTCGCATTGTTTCATAATTTTGTAACTTATTTTCTCATTCAAAAGAGTAGATAATAAACATGTCCTTTCCTTGTTTAAAAAAAAGACGCGTTTCTTTTTATAAGAAAGCAATCTTCAATCATATTTTGTTCTAAATAAGAAATCGCATTTCAAAGACTAGTCATATTTGGCGCCTTGTTGGCATTATACGTGTGCACGTGTGCGTGTGCGCGTATGGTTGTGCGCGTGCGCATGCGTACCCTCCGGCAGCACGCAGGCGAGCCCGTCGATCTCGGCGGCGAAGAGCGTGAGCTCGTGCAGCGTGAGGCGGTACTTGGGGTCGTGGTGGCGCGTGCGCGTGCGCATCTTGTTGAGGTCGAGCTGCGCGATCACGGACGCGCACTTCTCCGCGTCCTCGATGCCCGTCTCCAGCGCGCGCACCAGCTCCGTCTTGTGCATCTGCACGCACACGTAAACACCAACTTAATCACGCTCAACTTCCCGACGCATATCAAAATAAACGTCTTAGTTATTTACACTAATAAAAAAAAAAGAATAGTAACTTTTTAAAAACAATGAACCGATGTAGGACGAAATTTATTATATACTTAATTTTTTAATTTAGAACATAAAATGGTGTGTGATTAAACAGATCTTGCCAGTAACTCGACCAAAATTTTCTGGCAACGAAATGTGTAAATATAGACACATATTGGAGCTTGTATTCATAATTATTTTATTTTACAGAACATACTCATAATACGCTTTTTTTTCTAATATTATATTACTTGTAAATAACAAACAATTCATGCTAAAACACTTACTCTTATTTGGAAAAGAAAATAGTACATTACCTTCAAATCGTGTGCTCGTTTCAAATACGCTCTGAGACCGTCCAAATCACAGGTCTTGGGCGTGTCGGGGTCCAAAGCGTTCTGGACAGCCTCCGCCCACTCGCGGAACTCGTCCGACTTCTTCTTCAGTTTCTCCAGCATGGCTGGCAGTTCGTCCAACGTGTAACGATATCTAGAATGTTTTATTAATTGATTCTTGATCATTGCAATAAATTATCTGATTACATCAAAATATAATTAAATATACTGCTGCCAGTGAATAAATGTTAAAAAACGAGATAATTTAAACATGTTCTTTTTTTATCCGTATGTTCATTAACTTTAGACTATATATTAATGTTTTTTATAACACAGAGGGCAAAAGAGCTTGCGGCTCACTTAATGGTAAATGAATACCGCTATCGATGATCACACAGCCGTTGCAGGTATGCTGTCGACCTTTTTAAAAGGAATATGCTATTTTCTCGAAAATTGCGATGTCGTAGTAGTTCATAAATATTGCTAGAAGATAATTCCAAAGAGTAGTTGTACATGGAAGAAAATGCCTTGAAAAACGCACGGTGGAGGACCGCCACTCATCAATGATCAATACCCGATCAATATTCGCAAAGATCACAGCGCGAAATATTGATCAATGCCAATTATAATTAGGAATAACATGGTCCAATGGGCACGATCATTTAACATGTAAAAGTCAATCTCCAATAATTTTCCCTTATTCCCCTCCAAAAATTTAAAATATTTTTCGTCATGAAATAATTCCTCTGTCATGCATATACAGTGAACACTCTATATAAGCAACCTCTCTATAAGCAACATTCTGTATACTTTATTTATTCTACTCAGCTTAGTAAATAAAAGAAATAAGTAAAAATATTTTCCAAATGGCAACCCTTTCTGAACCGATACGACAACATAACCTTCAAGAGATATTCTTTTTAAAAGGGCGGCAGCGCACGTGCAATGCCGTCAGTGTTGCGGGTGGTGGTGGTCGCGCAGGCGCTACCTGAGGCGGTGTGCGGCGGGCGGGCAGCGACACAGCAGCGCGTAGTGGCGCAGGCAGGCGACGCGCGGCGAGCACGCGCACGACACGCACGACAGGAAGCACGTCGTGTTGCACACCTGGCACTGCCGCTCGTCGTCCGGCAGCAGCTCGAACGCCTCGCGCTCCGCCTCCGTCACGCCCTGCGCACATTCACCACTCAACCTCGCATCCACTCACTAGAAGTGTCTAGTCGCACCCATCACATCAGCATTTGCCTATCATCCCTATATACCGATACGTGCACGTAGGGTTACCAGTACATTATCACCCATTTAAAAAAAGACCTCCAAATTGGCCAAATATAAGGGTACATATGTATATGAAAATAACAGAGTTTACAGGGTAAAGAGGAATAACACCAGACTTCTCATAAATGGCAACACATAGTGAATATAATGGGCGAAACAGTATACTCTGTTATGTCCATGGTACTGCTCATGTCTATAGGCGACGATTACCACTTTCATCAGGTGGGCCGTCAGCTTGTTTGCCATTTTAAGTTCATAAAAAAAAAACAAAAAAAAACTATAAACATCATCAGATGCGTCCATCAATCACGGTGGATGAAAGTGTTTGTGGGGTTACTCTTGAAATAAATTCTAATAGTTTAATATTAAAATTATGACATTTCTAACTCTCGAATTGCAACACTAGCGACTAAATGATTCCATATTGTTCTGATAGACGCACATTAGTACAAGTTGTCAAAGCAAACTATTGTATACGGATCCCAATTATAACCTAATTCCTAACCGTTATTTCATGAGTGCAGTACAAAATTGTCATTGGCCATAGATTGGACTGATATTTTAGATTCAAAAATAGACCTGCTGAACAGTATTTACGATTACTCGGCTACGTTTGTTAGTGAAAAACGTCCAGCGCGAGACCAGCGTTGAACGTCTGGTAGATCAAGGACGGCTCAGAGTCACGTCCACGACTTACGACCGTGCAGTTTAACATAAATGCACTGTCAAGATCATGTAAATGTAAAGGCGAAGGTGAGTCCGGCAGGCAGCACGCACCCAGTCCAGCAGGCTCTTGCGCAGCTTGCGCTCGTCGTGCAGCATGGTGCGCATGTCGCGGTAGGCGGCCAGCGCCACGCTCACGCTCAGCGTGTCCGCCTCCAGCGCCATTTTACACACCAGCTCGTCGTGCGAGAACACGCAGTACCGCCGCAGCGTCGAGTAATGCCCGATGCACTCGCGGCCCATCTTCAGCTGTGCAAATAGAAATTAATTAATTGCTAAATAATTGTAAACGATTCTCCTTAGAGACTATCTACCTACTAGTTCCATAAGAATGTAAATAAATACCATACATACATCGAGAAGAATATGAAAAGTCCCCCTCGCCCCTATAAAATACCTATACAATAAGGGTGGATAGTATATAACATTTTTTGTTTTTATAGAACTTAGAATGACAAACAAGCTGACGGTCCACCTGATGGAAAGCGGTAACCGTCGCCTATAGACGTGAGCAGTACCATGGACATAACAGAGTACACTGTTACGCCCATGATACCCCCCATGCGTTGCCATTCCTGAGGACTTAGATGTTATTCCTCTTTACCCAGTAAATTCACGCCATATCCCACCCTTCAAACCGAAACACAGTCACGCAAACACAACTGCTTCACGGTTGAAACACGAATGGGACAGACATCTATATATTTTAATTATAATATAGCCTGTTATTTAAATAATATTGAATAACAGACTTAACATATTCGAAAATAAATATTCGAGCGATATAGGAATAGGTGTTGATCTGTTTTCTGCCTTCAATGTCCAGAGAAATCCAATATATAGGTATCGGATCGATATTCATATTACCCATGCCTACTATATCTTTATTTTACTACCCTTTCCAATATCAAGAACCACACACACACACACACACTTGCAGAGACAGATTGTCAAATCTTGGCTTTACAATTGTTTTATCTCATTTTGTTACTCAGTCTATTCTCTAGGTCTGTAGTAAATACATTTTTTATTCATTTTCAATTATGTATTTCTATAGAAGCAACTATTACTTGATAGTTTATTTTTACTTTTCTAAAGTATTAAAAAATTTTACAATGCACTCACCCAATCGGCTGGGGTGAAGTTGACAGCCTCAGCAAAATTATATCCCTGGTTGAAGCCGGCGTGGTAGGCCCTCGGGAACGTGATCACAAACTCGCCGGCGTGCTGGTCAGTTCTAAACAATTGAAATATAAACTTTATTAATTAATACTGTTGCTAAACTGTGCTTGCAGTTTCAAGTTTCAATTTTAGCAAAAGTTACAAAGTAGGAAGTCATCATTATCATCAATATCAGCCTTTAACTGTCCACTGCTGAACATAAGCCTCCCCTCCCCCTTGGGGGGTTTTACCAGTAGTTGCCACGCTTCACAGGCGGATTAGCAACCGCAGTTAGGCTTTGGAGATGTTTTAAAAGGGATGCTGCTTACCATCCCCCGCCCTCCCTTTTTCGCCTCTTACGGGAATAAGGGAGGGCGGAGGAAAAAGAGGGGTGGTCTATTCTACGCCGGGACAACACGGCGGTTTGCAGTTTACAATTACTCTATACGTTAAGTTCCATTGACATAGATTATAATTAGCTAATCAAAATCATTATCATTGTCATAACGGCTTATCTCTTACAAACAACTAATAAACTGTAGTTCGCGGTGCATTATTCGTGGTTTTACTACAATCTATTTATATAAAGGCACTGACACAAACACTGGTACATTTATAATAATATTGTAGGTATAATTAAAGTAATTAATTCTCATGTGACAGACGCAATGATACCATAAATACTGCATAGACAGAGAAATTAAATTTTAAGAAAAAAAATATCGTTATCTCAGTAATTCAATATTTCAGGGACCGCATACTAGACTTGTTATCAATGAGGAGGTTAGTCCCCATTGCTATCAATACACCTTATCAGGTAGACCTCCACGCGGTTCCCCTTGGAAACTTGTGACTAATTTATCGTTCAACCTTTCGACTCGTTGCAACGACGAGCTATGAGAATTGTCGATGATCCCGAGCTCACAAGCGGTATCGAACCCTTAAGTCTTAGGAGAGATTTTACCTCACTCTGCGTGTTCTACCGCCTGTACAATGGCTTGTGCTCAGAGGAATTGTTCAATATGATGCCCACAGCCACTTTCTACTATCGTACGGCTCGCCATCAACAGGGAGTTCATACTCATGTCCTACAGCCTCAATGATCGCGTACTGCGCGGTTTCAGAGATGTTTCCTACCACGAACACTCAGGTTGTGGAATGAGCTCCCTGCCGAGGTTTTCCCAAGAGACTACAGAATTGGGTTCTTCGAAAGGGGGTAAAGAGTTTTCTTCAGGGTCGGCAACGCACGCGTAATGTCTCTGGTATTGCAGGTGTTCATAGGCTACGGTAACCACTTATTATCAGGTGGGCCATATGCTTGTTTGCCACCTCAGTGGTATAAAAAAAAATCGTTGAATTCTTCACGACGGGCTAACTGACCTGCCTTTTCATCCTCATCGCTCATCCCTCACTGGTGCCCCGTCAGTATATACCAATAGCGGAGGCAGGGTCATCATTACAATATCCTCCATTAAACATCTCCCACCTCTCAGATAGGGGATACTGGACTGGGGATAGTGGTGGGGAGTCCTATGTTCATCAGTGGTCAGTTAACGGTTAATATATGATACTGGACTTACCTATATACCGGTACCCCTGCCTTCATCAGCACATTGGGGTTCATGATGGTGACGAGCTGGTGCAGCAGGTCGGGCTGCAATTGGAACAGCTCCGGCGCTTCCGCCTTCATCGCTGCCTCGAACTGCTCCGCTTTCGAACTCGGAACACCATACCTGGGCATCAAGTTGGAAAAATAAAAATTCGATTGCAAGAATTTGACGACAACGCCTGCTCAAGCCTGTCTGCGGAGGTTGCGGGGGGCGGTGGCGCCGCCGGTGGGAGACACGTCATCCAGCGTCACAACAAGCGCAAGCGCAGTATTATTTTCAATTAGCGTTCCGCATATTATTGCCGGAGTAAACCAAAGTTATATACAGAGTAATTATACCAGTTCAAAAAATTAATATACACTCTTTACATACTCTAACCACACCATAATTTAAAGATATACTGCCTCCACTTGGGGAAGAAGGGATCGTTAGTAATGGGGTCTGACAGCCATGAGTACGAATCAAGCCGACACTAAAAAAATTGCATGGACTCCTGCTGAAAATCAGCGCTGTAGCTCTTTGGCTTTCGGCAAATATTGTGTAATGACTTTTTTATTTTTTTTTTTATTTTTTATACAACTTAGAATGGCAAACAAGCTAACGGTCCACCTGATGGAAAGTGGTAACCGTCGCCTATAGACATGAGCAGTACCGTGGACATAACAGAGTATACTGTTTCGCCCATGATACCCCTCATGCGTTGCCATTCCTGAGCACTCAGGTGTCATTCCTCTGTACCCAGTAAATTCACGCCATATCCCACACTTCTAACCGAAACACGGTCATGCAAACACAGCTGTTTCACGGTAGAAACACGAATAGGACAGAAGTACCCAAGCAATCGACTTTTGTACAAAGTCTCCCTCTGGTAATGCCTTTGCCTAATATCGTCATAGTCGTCGTAATACTGACGGATCTATATATGTAACATTCGTCAGATCCTGCAGTATTCTATGACTATGACGATATATACGTGTTATTTACTCTGTATGAATCTTGTTTGTAAGCAAGTGTAACAATGTTTGTTGAATAAACTATTACATTTTGTTGTATTTATTTATTATAAATAACTTTTACTACCAGAATACAAGGATAACATAAGTAAATAAATAGATATTCTTTATTGTTTCTAAGCTAAAGTAAACTTATTATAAATGTAAACAAGAAAAGATTACATTGAGAAAACAATGGGCGGCCTTGTTGCTGAGTGCGTGAATCTCTTCTGGGCATAATTCAAAGCTAAACATGCACGTAATACGAAAAAAAAAGATAAAAATAAATAAATAAAAAAAAATATTCAAGTAAACTCCGTAATAAGTATTTTTAAATAGTCATTTTTTTTAATCTACATTCCAGTTCGAAATGCAATTTCAGCTGAGAAGAACGAGCAAAAAACACAGACGTTGCTTTTTTTTTTTTCAAATAAAAGTTTACAAAAAAAATATATGCAATCACTGTCACTAAAAAAAATATATGTAAAATGTCACTGACCAGGTCTTGGGCTCGCCCCAGTGCATGTAGTTGATGGAGTAGCTCCAGTGGTCCTCGTTGTGCCAGCAGAAGGTCGCGAAGCACATGCCCACATACAGCCAAGGGATCTGAGAACACCACCAACACTAAATAAGTAATACTGACGAGATTTTACCATGATTATGGTAAGTTATAAGTATATACTGTTCCGATATCTATATATTGGGTGTCATTGGACATTGATGATGGCAGAAAAGTGTATCACTCGTTTCGATATTGTCTATACATGTCGGATATATATTTTGACCAGCTTCTTCACTTCGATAATTGCTATTCAATCTGTTATTGGGCGTTGATCCATATTATAGATACTGTATGTATATATTGATTATAATATTGTATCTAGAATATATAGACATTGTTAGATATCATCCATTTTTAAGTGTATGGGTCCAATTATTAAAGGATTACAGTTATATACCAATATGGAATTGGTCTCATGCTAATTCTATCAAAGATGAAGTCTTATTTCTTTAAATTTCATATTATCTGATAGATAATCCCTCATGATACAGGGTATCCTACCTTGAAGTCTGGGGGAAAGGAATTCTTACTAATGGGGTTTATTTGCCCCATTGCTAGCAATAAACTCTACCAGGTCAACTTCAACTACGTTCCCTCTGGAAACCATTGGTGTAATTGTATGGCATTTATTATCACATACCTTCATTCCTGATATGTCAGCATTGATATGTCCTAGTACGGAACCCTCGAGCACTGGTAAGTTGTTTAGATTCCAGCTCGACTCCACATACTGTTGCTCCCCAGGATACAAGTGAGCGCTCGCTTTTGTTGGAAACCCTAAAATGATATAATTATAATATAAAATAATTGATTTAATTAATTAACTCTTTTTTTAAATACGTAATTATTTTTAGTAAAGTTCCTTCATGCTTTCAGCGACCAGGGAGCCATATTTTAATAATATTTTCTGCAACTTTACTAGCATATGACCCACTCCATACTATAATGCACAAAGTATAGATAATCCCGTACCGGAACCATGGTCCATGGAGTGCAGGTCGGCACCATACTCGACGGTCACGTCCTCGTCGATGGACGACACGATGCGCCAGAACTCCTTCTCCACCGTAGACGTCGGCACCATCTGGACACGACAAGACTTATTATTACACATCTGTACGTTTATAGGCGACAGTAGCCATTTGTTATTAGGCAGGCAGACAGCTTGATTGCCTTTCTAAGTTGCATAAAAAAAATGAAATTTAATTAAGGTATGACATATCTCCTGATGATGAATATTTTCTTGTTTTTTTTTATACAACTTAGAATGGCAAACAAGCTGACGGCCCACCTGATGGAAAGTGGTAGCCGTTGCCTATACACATGAGCAGTACCATGGACATAACAGAGTATACTGTTTCTGTTTCTATTTATTACATAAATATATATTATAAACATGATAAATAGATCAATGGTAAATAAAAAAATACAAAAAAAAATAGAAAATGGTTAGTTGACAAACTCACGTGTACGGGCATGTTGAAATAGTCCGACTTGAACTGGTCGGCCATCTCGCCGAACTGCTGCAGCGTGTATTCGCGGGACGCCTGCTCGAAACCGAACGCCTCCGCGGGCTTCGACACCTGAACAACAATATAGTCATATGTTACATCACGCATTGTGGCTGTAGCCCATTCATACATTTCTTTTATACCACAAAGATGGCAAACAAACATGTAGCCCGTCTGATGGTAAACAATCACTGTAGCCTGCAACACTAGGGGGTGTCACGTGCGCAAGAAATCTGAAGAAACCTTCATCATCATATCAGCCTTCAACTGTCCACTGTTGAACATAAGTCTCCCCCTTTGGGGGGTTTGTCACTAGTTAGCACGGTTGGCAGGCGGGTTGACAATCGCAGTCTAGTGCCCATCCCTCGCCCTTAATATACACTTTTTGAAGAACCCCATACTGTATTCTTTAGGAAAAACCTCGGCAGAGAGCTCATTACACAGCCTGAGAGTGAGAGAGCTTGGAAGAAGGTCCTTTGAAACCGCACCGTACGTGACCATTTTGGTTCAAACATGTAAGGATGAATTCCCTGTCGATGGTGAGCGGTGCGGTGATAAAAGGATGCTATGGACATTATTTCAAACAATTCCTCAGAACACAATCCGTTATACAAGCGGAGAACACAAAGGGAGGCAGTCTCGTCTTAGACTTAGAGCTCGATACCGCCTGTGAATTTAGGGATCAACAATTCTTATAGCCCGTCTTTGAACCGAGTCAAGAGGATTATGATAATATAATTTTATGGGGAGAAAGGGATTGTTAGCAATGGAGTTTGATAGCTCCATTGCTAGCAATATGCCCTATCAGGTCGACCTCCACGTGGTTCCCCCTGGAAACCATCGTGAACAATTCTTATGGAATTCGTCACGATGGGCTAACTGACCTGCTTCATCCTCACCTATCATCCCTCACTGGTGCCCCGCCGGTGTATACCGATAGCGTAGGCGGGGTTACCATTTTATTATCATCCATTAAAAAAAATATATTTGATTTTCTTTGAAAAATACACTATATCTTGGGATGATAAAAATATCACTGCTAGGAACATCTTAAAACTCCTATCACTGGTAGAAATAAGTAGCGAAAATAAAAAAAAAAAATCTTCATCATCACAACAGCCTTTAACTATCCACTGCTGAACTCAAGCCTCCCCTTTGGGGGGTTTTCCCAGTAGTCGCCACGCTTTACAGGTGGATTTGCAACCGCAGTTAGGCTTTAGAGATGTTTTATAAGAGACGCTGCTACCCATCCCTCACCCTCCCTTAGTTATCTAGTAGTTACATATATGTATATATAAATACAATAATAATCGCATAAAAATATCTGATTACATTTCTGAAAAAGACTGCAGATAAGAACAGGAAAGTTATTAAAATCAGGATTATATTATTCCGCCAACTTTGATCCAGTCTGCGAATGGAATGTCAATGCCATAAATCAGTTCAGATATCAACATTCTTCCGATAATGATGCATGTTTTAGTGGATTTATACTTAAAATTAAATATTTCACGGATAAGATATGGACCGGAAATTAAATATTATTGTGTACTGATAAAAAAAAACCGTTTACTCATGCACCCAGTAATAGCGCGGTGGTCACATAATAAACATAGGTGCAACACAGTGATTTTAATAATTAAACTTTCACATTGTTTCACATTTTAAACACACAATCGGAACTTAAAACGATGTAAAAGCTTTTGCAAGTAAACAGTACCTACATACCTGGCCCTCTAGACAAGTGGCAAGCGAATTAATCGATTTTTAATCGAATCCGTGAGATAAAATTAAATAGCAACGTCAGATGACTCATTCCAATTCACGGGCTCGTCAGCGATATCAGTTCCATCGACAAATTCGCTCGCCACTTGTCTAGAGGGCCTGCTTCTTTATTGCCGACGCATTATTGTGGATTGCACCACGTCGTGGTCGCAACGACGAAGCAGGTATTAAGGTACTATACCTGTAGTTTTACATCGCGTAAAGTCCCAATTGTGTATTTAAAAAACAGTGTTTCTTTTTAGTTGATACACGCAAAGATTATGAGCGGATTGCAAATTAATTTTGTATTTCTATTAGTCTATACATATGTGGCGGGGGATCAGTGTATAAGGTACAATTTTGAGGATGGCCTCGCTGGGTTTACGACGGAGCATCCAAGATGTAAAGGTCTGGACAGCTGGTCACTGGGTACATACAACACCACATCTGTACCCCCTATGAGCGGACCAGGCACAGTGTATGTGACACCGTCGCCACCCCAAACCTGTATAGCCACGACGGATCCATTCAGTATGGCCATGGATGGTAGCATCAGACTGAACCTGTATATGGGTATTGGCGAGAATACAATGACGTTACTGGTGGTCACACCAGAGAACTCCGTGAGCCAGAGTCATGTGTTCGACGAGGATAAATTTGAATGGATAACGTATACATTGCCCATAACTCGACCGTGTACTTCTTGTCAGGTAATTACATAATTTTAACTACATTTTATAATTTAATTAAAATGGTAAAAAAAAACAATATCTCGAGCCTATTGAATACGTAAATAAATATTTCTATTTTATTTTATATTTGTAACTCTATAACATTATATAAATATAGCATAAACGGCCACACGATGGGATTGTTAGTAACTATTAGTCCCATCTCTAGCAATATACTCTGTCAGGTCGACCTCCACGTGGTCCCTGGAAACCATCGTGCTGAATCCATGTATTCATCACGATATCGATGTGCCTGCCTTTCCATCACGATGTGTTAACCGACAGCGTATATCGTTAGTGAGCGGGGTTACCATTCCATTATCATCCATTAAAACGGCTGCGCGAAAAAATCTGCCCATACCGATAGCGCAGGCGGGGATATCATTGCAAAAAAAAAAAAAAAGCAATTATAGTCATCCAATTAAAAGGTATGTTTTATGCAACTTAGAATGGCAAACAAGCTGACGGTCCACCTGATGGAAAGTGGTAACTGTCGCTTATAGACATGAGCAAGTACCATGGACATAACAGAGTATACTGTTTCCACCATGATACCCCCCATGCGTTGCCATTCCTGAGGACTCAGGTGTTATTCCTCTGTACTTTATAAATTCACTGCAATATCCACCCTCCAAACCGAAACACAGCTACGCAAATAAAACTGCTTCACGGTAGAAACACGAATGGGACAGACACACGAGTGCCCAAGCAAACAACTTTTGTACAAAATCCCTCTCTGGTTAAGATTCTTAATTTGTGTGTAATTTATTGGTGTAATTATCTTTATATTTGAAGGAAATATTTGATTTTGTTTGTAACGGATAAACTCAAAAACTACTGTACCAGGGCCATAGCTAGACCCATGTAGCCAAGGCAGGGCAAAGAAACTTTTTGTTAGAACAGAAGCCATAATTGACTTCAAAAAAGTTAATAAGTCTAATTTTCTTGAGGTCTTTCATTAAGCCTCCATCTTGGGAGGTTTTGCCAGTAGTTGCCACGCTCGCCAGGCAAATTGGCAACCGCAGTTAAGCTTTGGAGATGTTTTAGGGGGGACGCTGCTGGTGGTCCCTCGCCCTTCCTTTGTCGAGTCTTACGACACTCACAGGAAAGGAAGGGGTGGCTAACTTTTTCAGTAGATATTCAATATTATTAATAGATTGACTGGGAGAGAATGTACCAAAGAGTAAGAATCATTTTTTGCAATGTGCTCAATAAAGAATAAATAAATAAATAATTTTACAGTTTGTACTACTGGGATCAGTGTCGGACAATAGCGTGATGTTACTCGACTCAATTCGTTACAAAGGCCCTACATTGGATTGGGAGCAATGCTCAGTTTATTTACCATTGCCAACACCTACCCAACCACCACCACCACCACTGACCACTGACGACAGCTGTGTCACGTACGATTTCGAAAATGGACTGGACAATTTCATTCTAGACCACGAGATATGTGCCAATTATAATGGCAAATGGACTTTGGGGAGCTACGAGTCTATTCCAATAGCTAGACCTCACCCATCGAGCAATAAATACATAGCACCAGATTTCTTAGCGGCGGAATACGCCTGTATATGCACTTTTGCTATTCACATGAGTGAAGGTGGCACAGTCGAGGTGAACGCTTATATGACAGTGGGCAGCACCCTCTCAATACTAACCCTGACTGAGGACAATAGAATAGCAAACATCGAGAGATATGCCCCTGAAAAAGACTCCACAGACTGGATATCAATACAATTCCCTTTGTGGCAAACATGTAACTTTGGTTATGTAAGTATTAGGTTTAATTTTATTAACTCTTTTGCACATACTTTCTGAACTTAATGCCTGATGGTAGTATACCAGGAGGATTATTAGTAATGGGGTCTTACACCAGTGAGAGATGATAGGCGAAGATGAAGTCAGGGGAGTTGGCCCATTGCCACGAATTTGACAATAATTCAGCACGATGGTTCCCAGAGGGAACCGCGTCAACGTCGACCTGACAGGGTATACAGCAATACGGAGAACATAGCCCCCATTAGTAACGATCTTTCTCCTATCTCCTCCCCCTGAAAAAGACTTGGAGTAATAATATTGACCCTGCTTAGTTACTTACTGTTTAAACTAGATGGCACTGTGCACACATCTAGGACTATTAATTTTAATTGAACAGAGATACATTTATACATCTTTCTTTGTGGCAGATAATTCTTTTAGCTGAAACAGACGACGCCAATGCTATGTTATTAATTGACTCGTTTAGATATATACCTAAAACAATGAGTAGTGAAAAATGCACAATATACGAGGAAATCGTCACGACCGACGCTGAGACGACATACACGAGTACCGAGTCGACCAGCACACAACATATAGGACAAATAGACGATTGCATCACGTATAATTTTGAAAATGGACTTGTTGGATTAATATTGGACCATCCAATATGTTTGGACGCCGATAGCGTTTGGACATTGCAGAGTTACGACTCAACCTCTGTAGAAACACCAAACGAAGCCAGCAACATGCACTTGACACCTTCCAGAGGATCAGTTCCTGCAGTGAGCTGTATAGCAACTATAGCTTTTGATATAAAAACTGGCGGTGTAGTCGAAGTGAACGTTTACATAGAGAGAGGGCTGCACTTCGTAACCATACTAATAAACGAGCAGGGCAGGACGCATTACGGCGCCATGTTGGCGGGATTGACGCCCGGCTGGTCGGCCATAAGGTTCGCCTGGCCTAGACCGACGTGTCACTCGTGTTCGGTAAGTTTGGATTCGTTGTCTAGCTAAATCAGCGCCGCATTTATTGTGGGCCCCTAGTGCCAGACGAGTTGGCAACAGTAGTTAAGATTTTGGTGATGTTTCAAGAGGGACGCTGCTGCCTATCCCTCCACTATAGGCTCCCTTAGTCACCTCTTACGAGACCCACGGGAAAAGAAGTGGCTTACTCTATGCTGAGACGTAAAAGGCTAGAAATGTATCTAATAGTATTTATTTCCTTTAATCAGTATTAAAAGAAAAAAAAAATGATGGTAAACTAAAGGGTATGGGTGCGTTCGCTTTACTTATCCTTCAAAAACAAACAGAAAACTCAGCAACACATGTGGGGGGAAAGGGATTGTTAGTAATGGGGACTGAGAATCTTATTGCTAGCAATATACCCAACCAGGTCGACCTCCTCGCGATTCTCCCTGGAAACTATCATGGTTAATTCCCGATGAATTCATCATGACGGGCTAACTGGCCACCCTTCACTGGTGCTCCGCCAGCGTATCCCGTTAGCGCAGGCCATACCATACCATTTTAAAACATACCAAAAAAAAAAACTTAACAACACATGCAGTTCCCATGATCAACTATGATCAACAGTAGCGGTACCTCCATCCATCCACATTTGCATTAATGATATGAAATATAACTTGGTTTCAGATCGTATTAGTGGGCGTAGAAAGAAATGCTGGACTGATGTTGATCGATTCGTTTCGATACATACCGCCTACGTTAGACGACGACCGATGCGCCCTCTACAACTGACTGGTACGGGACAGCCGTTGAAACGGGCACGACTGTTTTTCATACAAAGCGCCGATGAAATTAAATTAAATTATTTTGCTAGAATGTCTATGTTTCAGTCAAAACTCTTAACCAGTCAAAAGTACTATTTACTAGCAAAATCAGACAAAAGTATTTTTGTCCACATGCTTTTAGTCTTTTTACTTTCGACTAAAATAACAGTTAAAAATACTTCTAAGCTAACCGCAAATTTGCAGTTAAAAGTACTAATAACCAATAATTTTCAGTCAAAGGCACTTTTGACCAACCTGTTCAGTCGACCTCCACGCAGTTCCCCCTAAAACTATCGTGACCAATTTATCATTGAATTCGTCAAAATGGGCTAACTGACCTGCCTTTTCATCCTCGCCTATGACCACTCACTGGTACCCCGCTAGTGGTATACCGATAGTGCAGGCGGGTTTTTTTTTTTTTTTTGATGAGTGAAAATGGTATGGTAACCCCGCCTGCGCTAACTGGATACGCTGGCGGAGCACCAGTGAAGGGTGATAGATGAGAATGAAAACAGGCCAGTTAGCCCATCGTGATGAATTCATCAGGAATGTTATTATGATAGTTTCCAGGGAGAACCGCGAGGAGGTCGCCCTGGTTGGGTATATTGCTAGCAATAGGATTCTCAGTCTCCATTACTAACAATCCCTTTCCCCCCAGCGCAGGCGGGTTAACCATGCCATTTTCACGCATAAAAAAAAAACCCCCAACCAAGTATGACAAGTACTGGCAAAACCCCCCCAATAGGAGAAGACTTATATTCAGCTGTGGACAGTATACGGCATTGATGGTGACAGTTCTATCTATTTACACGTACGAAGACGGGGCGGATCACTAGTTAACCATAAAAAATAGATAGACAGATACTCCTTATTGTTTCCTCCAAAAGATTACAATAGTGAACTTATTATAAATATAAACAATAACAAGAAATAATCACAATGAGAAAACAATGGACGACCTTATCGCTAAGAGCGATCTCTTCCAGGCAACCCTTGGATGGAGAGGAGTAATTATAAACAGTTTGATCGGAGGCACGATGAAATTCTATTATTTCTAAAATATAGAGACGTGATATATAATATGCAACTGACCTCCTCGGCGATGCAGACGGGGCACCGCCAGTCGCCCTTGGGCACGTCGGCGAGCGGCGGCACGAGGCAGAACGTGTGGTACGAGTCGTCGCAGCCGTCGCACAGCAGCATCTGCTCCTCGATGTCACCGCGGCCGCACACGTGGCACATGTACTTCGCCAGCTGCACGCGCACGCAGACGCAGGCATGGCAAATTAATAAATAATAATTTATTTATTAATTTGTTTTTTATTTATTAAATAAATAAATAATAATAATAATAATACCAGAGGGAGACTTTGTACAAAAGTCGATTGCTTGGGTACCTCTGCCTCATTCGTGTTTCAACCGTGAAGTAGTTGTGTTTGCATGGCTGTGTTTCGGTTTGAAGGGTGGGATATGGTGTAAATTTACTAGATAAGGAGGAATAACACTTCCTCAGGAATGGCAATGCATGAGGGGTATCATGGGCGAAACAGTATACTCTGTTATGTCCATGGTACTGCTCATGTCTATAGGAAACGGTTACCACTTTCCATCAGGTGAGTCGTCAGCTTGTATATATATATATATATATATATATATATATATATATATATATATACTTTCCATCAGGTGGGCCGTCAGCTTGTATATATGTATATAAAGAGAAATGGTACTACAATGTTGTAAAAATGAATATTGAAGCAATAGGGGAGCAGAGCCTACGAGGTGCAGTACTGACCGGGTCGTCGTGGCGCGCGGCGCCGGCGGCGGCCGCGGCGGGCGCGGGCGCGACGGACACGGTCATGTTGGACAGGCGGTGCTCGCGCAGCCGCGACGACCGCGTGGCCCGCGAGCCGCGGCTGCGCGCGCCGCAGCTGCCCGCCGCCGACATCCACTTGTTCTCGCGGGGGCCTGCGCACGCGCACGCGCACACGCACACGCACACGCACACGCACACCACACACACATCAATATTTATAGTTATGCTTTATACCGACACCTAGCAGCAACGAATTACATACAAGGAATGATAAAACAAAAGTTGCAAATCATATGGTTGCCTCCTTTCTTCTTATGCAAATATAATTAGTAAAAAGTATATGACACACTATCAGTTGCTATGTATCTCAATTCATAGCAGGCTAGTGTATAGAAAATGTTTGATATGTCAATTATTTGTCAATGACAACTTTTACGTTACTAGATTATATATTCGACACAGTTTATGTAGTAAGTATGCGAGCGGGTTGTATCTGAATTTGGTGGGGTTATACGGCCGTATACATTTTCTATACACTGGCCTGCTGTAAATTGACAATTTTATCACTCCTATGTTAATCCCTTGGTCTTAGAGGGAGACTGACACCAGTTGCCAATAGTTGTCATGCTTGACAGGCAGATTAGTAACTGCAGTTTGACTTTAAATGATGTTTTAAGAGGGACGCTGCTGCCCATCCCTCGACGACTAAACTCCCTTAGTCGCCTCTTAAGACACCCACGGGAAAGGAAAGGGGTGAGCTGTTCTATACCAGGACCTACACAGCTATACCATTCCATTATCACACGTTAATTTTTGTCGGATTTTTCTAACAGCTGAACTCAGCCTGCTGGCCAATTCAAATATATGGGAGCCCCATTGCAACTTATAATCCAAGTACTATGCCAAGAAAAGTGGTTTTATCTACAAAGTATAAATCCTGGTGGTCTATTCTAACAGCAGTATTCACTTGCTTAGCATTGGATATGGAAAATCTGATATGTTTTTTTTTTTTAATTAAGTACTAGATTATTTGACGTAAACCATATCAAAGAATTATTGATTGATCGATTGGCAAACTTACTTCTCCTAGTTTCCAAATTCTCCTCCTTGATAGGTGTCTTCATGACATTTTTCTTTTCGTCTTCAGCGCCGGCCAGTGCGCCCTCCGTGTGGCTGCCCTCAGCCTGCGGCTCGGGCTCCGACGTCTTGTAGCGGCGCGCCGGGGGCGGGGTCGCGGCCGCGGCGGGCGGGCACTTGGTGGCTGACCGGTTGCGGCCGTTGGTTGTGCCCTTCTCCGGGGTCTGTTCCCGTTTCACTTCGATTTTCTGAGGAGTATTCAGTGAATCCTGAGCGACAGAGGGGCGTGTCAAAAGAATATATAATTAGATTGAAAGAGAAAGGCGAAGAAAAAGGTTTGAAAAAAGAGAGATCATATAAATAGATATATACATAGAAATATTCATTTTTTCTGTAAAATATATGAACAATATTCCTTGTTCTTCTATATACTTAAGTCTTCAGGTACAATATATATCAAATATGGTGTTCCACAAAGCAAAAACTAATTAATTGTGGCAATATAAGTATTTTGATTTCAAAACTGAAATACTGAACCGATTTTGATAAAATTTCAATGGGAAGAATCTGTAAACATATCCTATTAGATAAAAAAAATAATTTTCCAAATCGGTTTACAATTGACGGAGTTATGAGGTAAACGACATAAAAGATATCCGGTCAAGTGCGAGTCGGACCCGCGCAGCGAGGATTCGTTACAAAATCATCAAGTTTATTTATTTATTTTTTTATTAAATAACTACAAATTTACGGTTTTCGGATTTTCCCCTTTACTTGTGCTACATGACATTGCTTCTTACCAAATTTGATGATTCTAGACCAACGGAAAATACCCTATAGGTTTTGATTTCCTTTGCGAATGTCAATATACGGCCTAACCTAAACGGCCATATCTTTTGATTTCGTTGATTTAGAAGCTTGATTTTTTCACTGCTTTAAGAAATTGCAGATCTGAGTATATGATATTAATTTCAAATTGATACCTCCACGCGTTCCTAAGGAAAAGGGTCTTGACAGACGGACAGACGGACAACGAAGTGATCCTATAAGGGTTCCTATTTTTCTTTTGGAGGTACGGAATCTCCTGTTTGAAGTCGGTTGAAAACAATATGAAATATAGTCCCATTCCATTTTCACCCATTAAAAAAATCTGTAAGATACGGGGTATGGCAACTTACAGTCTCCTTGTTGTCACCGACAACACCGCTGCTCTTGAACACGTCGTAAGGGTACAATATCCTCTCGTAGTGGCTTTTCAGTATGGAACCAATGCCCTTGCCCTGCGGGTGGCCCATGCGCCGCGCTATCTTCGACCATTTCCGATCTGCTGAACACACTTCGAAGCCACCTGGAGATTAACAACGGAATGCGTGATACTAACATCTTTAAAGATAAATGGTAAATCTACATCTACACTAATATTATAAAGAGGAAAGATTTGTATTTTTGTGTGTTAGTTTGTAATGAATAAACACAAAAACTACTATGCCGATTTTAAAAATTCTTTCACCATTAGAAAGCTACATTCACCCTGAGTACCATAGGCTATATTTATTGCTAGAAAAGATTATGGGTCCTTACAAAATTTTAAGTAACTTAAGTCAAGGTGTAAAAAAATGCTATAAAATATCTTTAGTCGCGTGCGCTGCGGAAACTATTGGTGATAGAACAAAAGTATGTTCTACAATATTGAAGAAAATATCAATAACTACAAAAAACTTCGCGCCACTATATGTCCAACTATTATCGTTATGTCACAATGACCACTTTTTAAAATGTTGTATAAATGTCTACCCGTGCGAAGCCGGGACGGGCCGCTAGTAATAACATAATTTGCTGGTCTAAAATACTATTATAATAACATAATTAATGCCACTTGAATCTTTATACATATAACTGTATTTTATTAATTATACATATATATTTGAAATATATAAATATAAAATTTCACATTTAACCGTTTCAACTATTTTAACAGTTCTCATTTTTACAGCCCGTCTCATGGTAAACGGTCACTATAGCCTACGGACGCCTGTAACACTAACGGTGTTATATGCGCATTGCTAACCCATAAGAAACCTTAGCGCATCCATTTTAAAGAACTACACACTGTAGTCTCTATGACAACTCAGGGAGCTCACTATACAGCAAGTGTTTCGGAGGGAAAGGGATTGTTAAGTAATGGGGTCTAATAGCCATAGCAATATACCCTCTCAGATCGACCTCCACGCAGTTCCCCTGGAAACCATCATGTTTAATTTTTGTCGAATCCATCATGGTGGGCCAACTGACCTGCATCCATTCTCACCTATCATCTTTCACTAATGCCCCGTCGGTTTATACCGATAGCGCGAACGGGGTTACTATTTCATTTTCACCCATTAAAAAGAAAGACTAAGTGTTCGCGGGCGAAAACATCTTTAAAACAGCATTGTACGCGACCATTTAGGTTCTAACGTGAAAGGATGAGTTCTCTGTCGATGGCGGGATTATTACATTTGATTAAACTACATTTTCTAAATGTTGTATTAACACTTCTTATCAATCATATGTTCTATACACATCACCAGAGGGAGACAAAACAAAAGTCGATTGCTTGGCCACCTCTGTCCCATTCGTGTTTCAACCGTGAAGCAGTTGTATTTGCATGGCTGTGTTTCGGTTTAAAGGGTGGGATATGGCGTGGATTTACAGGGTACAGAGGAATAACACCCGAGTCCTCAGGAATGGCAACGCATGGGGGGTATCATGGGCGAAACAGTATGTGTGTGTACTGTTATGTCTATGGTACTGCTCATGTCTATAGGCGACGGTTACCACTTTCCATCAGATGGGCCGTCAGCTTGTTTGGCATTCTAAGTTGTATAAAAAAAACCAATCGTCGTCTGTTATATTTTCCGAATAAATAAATAACTGCAAGCAGTCAACGCGAACTATTAGAGTGTGAGGCGTCACATAAGAAAACATGCAACTTCCAAACAAAATCGACGCATCTATGACCACGTGGTGGTCAACATGACAGGATATGTTGCTAGTAATGGGGTCGAATATCCCCATTACTAGCAACATATCCTGTCAAGTTATCCTGTATATCCTGTCAAACAATCCCTTTCCCCCCGAATCAAAACAGTACCCCAATATCCTTTGCTTGATAGTTCAAAAAGGTCGCGCGTCCGTTTAAACAACAAGCTATGAAAGTCAATCATAAGTGGGACAGGCAACGAGATAACTTTGTGGTTAAAATGGCAACATAAACATATCTCGATTATATATTACGATATTATTTACTAAAACATATGTATGTGTTGCAGTCAAAACTCTTAATCAGTCAAAACTACTATTGACTAGCAAAATCAGTCGAAATTACTTTTGTCCGTATGCTTTAGTCTATAATACTTTCGGCTAAAAGAACAGTTAAAAGTACTTCTAACCTAACCTAACCGCAAATTTGCGGGGGGAAAGGGATTGTTAGTAATGGAAACTGAGAATCCCATTGCTAGCAATATAGCCAACCAGGTCGCCCACCTCGCGGTTCTCCCTGGAAACTATCATGGTTAATTCCTGATGAATTCATCATGATGGGCTAATTGGCCTGTTTTCATTCTCATCAATCACCCTTCACTGGTGCTCCGCCAGCGTATCCCGTTAGCGCAGGCGGGGTTACCATACCATTTTCACCCAAAAAAAAAAGAAAACGCAAATTTGCAGTTAAAAGTACTAATAACCAATAATTTGCAGTCAAAACCACTTTTGACCAACCGGTTCAGTCAAAAGTGCTTTTAACTACTTTTGCTAGTCAATAGTACTTTAGACTGGTTAAGAGTGTTGACAGCAACATGTGTACATAATTCTGTCTTTGTAATGTACACACACAACCGGTTGCCTCGTCGATAATTAATACAGTTTAATTATAAAAACAGTGGAACTATGTACAAGTAATTTAATTAATATTATACAATTAATATAATTAAGTTCCATCAACAAACAAATAGTGAACAAAAAAATGGTCGCGTACAGCGCGGTTTCAGAGATGTTCCCTCCCACGAACACTCAGGTTACGGAATGAGCTCCCTGCCGAGGTTTTCCCAAGAGACTACAGCATGGGGCTCTTCAAATGGGGGGTAAACAGGTTTCTTCTGGGTCGGCAACGCGCGCGTAATACCTCTGGTATTGCAGGCGTTCATAGACTACGGTAACCGCTTACCATCAGGTGAGCCGTATGCTTGTTTGTATAAAAAAAAGAGAATTACAATAAAACACTAATTACTCGCAACTTTAATGAAATAATTGAATGATATTCTTTCATATTTTAACTAATACATACAATTTACATGAAAAGGTTTGCTGGAAGAAATCTCTTATTAGAGATAAGCTCGCCTTTGTACATTATGTTTTAAATGAATTGTGGTTAACATTATATTTTGTGTAAAATAAAGAATATTATTTTAATATTATGTAATTAACTCTACACGGCATAGAATAGGCCATCCCTTCCTTTTCCGTGGATGTAAGAAACGACTAAGGGAGAGTGAGGGATGGGCAGCAGCGTCCCTCTTAAAACATCTCCAAAGCCTAACTGCGGTTACTATTCCGTCTGCCAAACGTGACAACTACTGGCAAAACCCCCACAAGGGGGGAGGCTTATGTCCAGCAGTGGACAGTTAAAGGCTGATATGACGATGATGAATTAATGTTTATTATTAAACTAGCGGCCCGTCCCGGCGTCGCACGGGTGGACATTTTTAACAGTTCATTTCACTATTCTATTCTCTTCTTCTATTATATACTATTGTCTGCTCCTATTGATCGTAGCATGATGAAAGTATACTACAACCTGCCCAGGAGTATGAAGAATAGTTGTACCAAGTTTCGTTAAAATCCATCCATCCTCCTTCTCCATACCAAATGCTACATGTATCCCATGACAATTGGTAGAGTCTTTAAACCACTAGAGATACAGTATGGAATTCTTTAAGAGGTTTCTTAAAGGTCACCAACGCGCGTGTGACATCCCTGGTATTACAGGCGTCCGTAGGCTACGACAACACCGTTTACCATCAGACGGGCCGTATGCATGTTTACCACTATAGTTGGTATAAAAAAAATATAAAGAAAGTCACACATTTTCAATATTAATAAGAAAAACTAATAATTTTACAATACATACCAGCTTCTCTGACTATTTTATGTAAGGCATACAGATCGAGTGGCTTCCGTTCCACCGTCGGTATCTTGAGTACAGACCCTTGTAACTCCCAAAACTTGATAATTTGATCCAGAAAATTTAATTTCACTCGTGTTATAGCCTGCAAACATTCAAACATAATCATATCAAATAGATGGTACACTTCCGAAGGAGAAGCCAAGTTTCCCCAGAAATGGACGAATGAGAGAGAGAAAATAGCCCACTTTGTTTTACAACACGGGGGGCAAACGAACATGCGGCTCACCTGGTGGTAAGTGACTACCGCCGCCCATGATCACCCACAACACTAACGGCGTTGCAAGTGTGTTGCCGGCCTTTTAATTGAAAGTGACAACCATAGCTTATAGACATGAAATATCACCATGTTCATAATAGAATAACACGGTAACACGATGTGTCCATGGCACCTAAACTTGGTTTTATGTTTTTGTATATTTTGTAGTTAAAAACACATTGTAAAAAATATATTACGAATTTAAATTTCGAACAAAAAGAAATTTTCATTGTAATCACTTATAATGACTTAACTCACACTTAAATATGGCAATACTTGAATAGTTTCAAATTTAATAGCAGACCTTATTCATGAGCGCAGCTCACGGCTGTTGCGAGCAGCACTACGCGACCAGCGTGCTGTTCATCGCTCAAAACACAACCATGAGTGAAGCCGATATAAATAATTACAATACAGTATGACTCACGATAGTATATATATTATATATAAATATATATATATATATATATATATAATATTTTTTCTTTTACAAAAGAGCCCAAAATGTAAATGTGTTGACGTGAAGGTTATTGAATAATCGAAATGAGATATCAAATGAGAAAGCTTCATTAGTATATTCTAAGATAGAATATTAATGACGAGTATTTTTCGATTTATGATGAAAAAACGTCAAAAAAAAAATACCATTCCCCTCCCCTTATCTCCGGAATTTGTGGAGCGAAAAATCTGAAATAATTACATTTGATAAAGGTACAAAGAAAAATTAAATAAAAAAAAATAAAATGCTGTTTCTAACTGGAACAATTATTTAAAAGAATCATTAATAATCAGTTAAATTTCCTAATCTCCATTTAGTTAATGCTATGGAACTAGAATTCTACACACACAATTAAATCGAAACCATTATCTTAATGAAAATTGTTCCCAAAGAGACATTGGTCAATATTTGAATCAAGACTCATGTCATTTATAGTCAGTATCATTGATATAATATGTTACTCCTTTGAAAGGATAGCAATTATATTTTACGCCGTATAAACTATATAAACTTAGATAAGGCACAAATAAATTATCATTCGAAGAAAACAAACCCTCCTGTATAATTATTGATAAAAAATAAACTTCTATACTCACCTCTAATTCGTTCAACCTTTGTATCCGAGGTGTGAATCGTAACTTGTCCACGTCCACTGCAAATGGAGGCTGCCAATGCTGGAAAATAGAAATTATAATTATAAAACTCTTCTCTCCTACATTCTTCACGACTCTGGAACACGCTTCCTGATGCCATTAAAAGACTACCGACTAAACCATCTTTCAAAAAACACATTCACACTCACTTTTTATCTTTATCCGAGCAGTAAGTGCTTTATATTATTCTCAATTTCGTGTATAATATAGTATATGTCATTTTTTATTTATATATATATATATCTATTTGTTTACATATGTAATTTTAGTATGTATGTATATCAATAATTAGTAGTACCGCATTCAAGTATTCTGACACTTCCCTATGGTTGACTGGGAGAGAATGATTTTAGCATTAAGTCCGCCATGTACACATATTTGTACTAATTAAGAAATAAATAAATAATTATTATATTTACTGTGTCCACAGTCAAAATTAACTTAACCATTAAATGTAATGTGGTTACTTATAATATTTTTAGAAAAATAGGAATTAATTAGAGACCAGATTTTAATATAACCTTAGAAGGACAATCATGTTTGTTGACCTATCTAATGGAAAGTGGCAACCATTGTCAATAGACATGAACATTACCATGAACATCACAGAAGATGACACCCATGATACCTCATGGTACATGGTATATGACAATAGTCATTGACAAGTGACGGGTAAACTTTAAATTGAAACACATACATGCAAACACATTTACTTCATGGGGAAAACATGAGTGATACAGACACCAATGTAGATGAATTTTGCTCAAAGTCTGCCCTTTGGTACTTTAGCCAAAGAGATTTTTTTAACATATTTATAACAAGAAACTAAGCATATAGAAACAGTACTTAATTATACAACACAAAACAATAGGAGTCTAATTGACCCATTGCTAGCAATCACTCTATCTTCTCCTCTTGGATGGCGTAGTGGTTTATTCAAGTGGAATTTGTCACGATGAGCTAATTAACTTGTCTCTAATCCTCACCTATTATCTCTCACTGGTGCCCCGCCAGCGTATCCCAATAGCACAGGTGGGGTTACCATTCCATTATCACACATTAAAAAACACGAAACTACATATGACTATGAATATGCACTATAGTTTTTATTCCAATAAAGGGTAAATTCAATCAATGTTAAATTTATATGAAAATGTAAAATCTATCAGAGTATTTCACCAACTGAATAAAACATTCATATATCTAGTACAAAATCCACTTAGTGTAAAACTAGATGGCGCTGACAAATATAGTCATGTATGTATCAATTATCTATACTTATAATAAATCTGTAGAGAGGTCAATTCTGTAATGTCATATATTTCCAAAATAACTATCAGCAGGTGATTAGTGATCGATACTGATGTCAAAAATGCAATCAGTAAAATTTTTTTTGTCTGTCTGTCTGTTCGTTATAGAAACAAAAACTACTCGACGGATTTTAACGAAACTTGGTACAATTATTCTTCATACTCCTGAGCAGGTTATAGTATACTTTTCATCACGCTACGATCAATAGGAACAGAGCAGTGAAGGGAAATGTTAAAAATGACCACCTGTGTGACGCCCGGGACATGTCGCTGGTTTATAATAAAACTTTAAAATTACTCATAATTATAAATAAGTATTGTGTCAGTATAAAGAGAGAAAAGTTCAGTTAACTCATTATTACAATGTTTAATACTTATTGGGACAACTTTCACAATAAATACTAAAAAATAAATATTAGGGATATCTAATTATTCAATTGATTTTAATGATTTCTGCAGTTAAAATATCCACTTTACACAAATCGTAGTGACATTTATGTTTGTGTTTGTAATATTAACAAGAACGTACCACCTATTTAAACAGAATTAAATAAGCATACAATAGGCTCTATACTGAGGCATCATTTCTCTTTTAATTTCTTTCAGTCTTTAAGATGTTGTAACAAGCAACTAATAGAACAAAGCAAAACTCATTAGAGCTAGAAAAAGAAAATAGTGATGTAAACCTAACTACTGGCTGGCTGTATTTAGTGTATAATACTAGTTTTATGGGGGGGAAGGGATTGTTAGTAATGGGGAGGTTAGCCACCTTTCTGATAGAAAGGTGGCTAACCCTACCAGGTCGACCTCCATGCGGTTCACATTGGAAACCATAGTGCTAATTTCTAGATGTATTCATCACGATGGGCTAACTGACCTTCATCCTCATCTATCGTCCCTCACTGGTGCCCCGCCAGTGTATACCATTAGCGCAGGCAGGGTCACCATTCAATTATCATCCATAAAAAAAATACTAGTTTTATGTAGAATATTATATCTAGATAAATTTATATTATGAAGGACAATACGATTTTTTTACTATTTATATAAATACTTAACAATTGACCACATATAAATAAAATCATAATTAAGAAAAGTGTATTATGGATTACTACAAAAATCTCTAACCATCAGATGGGTTATATGCTTGTTTACCACCCCAGTGGTATAAAATAAAATTTATTTACAGTATGAACACTTTCAACTAAGTACAGAATGAATATTAAGAGGAAAAACAAAAGTGAATGACAACAAAAGAGATGGTGACCTAGATAATTCAGTTACTACATAATGATCAACTAAGTTAGTTAACAAACTTAATTAACACTTAATGGGAGTATGGAAAATAAGATGATGGACCTGAGCAACCCTTTATGATATATTACAGACTAGCTTTTACCCTGACGTCATCTGAGTAATCAACATATGTTGGTAAACTAGGATAAATTGTATTGTTTGGCTTTTTTCATCCCAAATAGTTTTTATATAAGGTTATTAAAACACCATGAGGTAACAAATAAAGTCATTTTTACATTTATAATATTAATAAAGATACAAGAAGTTAGTCAGTTGAGAACTAGTAAGTAATTGGATACAAAATGTGTGTAAATCATATTATAGACTTTGACGTTTTACACATTTACTGTTACAATAATTAATGTATTCTCAAACCCAGTAAGTTACATTGAGAAATAGAATATAATAGTATATAAGTAGAAGAATTAAGACTCTATTAGTGCTCTGGCCATATTTTTGCTGGTAATGTGTAGATTTAAGATTTGATTTTGCCATAATTCATTGAAATAATTTAGTCATTATTTTAATAAAAAAATATGGATGAAACTTTTACTATATCTTGAAAGGGAAGTGTGCAAGATAAAAATCATTAATCCCAATCTGCCTAAATATTACATTATTATTATAGTAAAATAAGGTTTATTCATAAAGAAAAAAAACATATTTTGTAGAAACAATCAGTTATGAGGTCATTTGTAATGACAAAGTAAAAATTGGAAAAGACCACTTTCAAAGGTAATTGTAATGATAATTAGTGGGCACAGATTCTTAAATAGATTTAAGGGATGTTCAGATTGTAGCCCCAAGTTGGTTTTTACAGTCATTAAGAAAGCAAATTGTTGAATCATGTTTCAAATACCTATGTAGGTAAAAAAAAATCAAGATTAGCCAGCCAACATGTTCATTTTACAGAATTTTGACTAGATTCAGTTGCCACAGTGGGTATTACAGTTAGTTACGACAAAAACTCGCGACAGTTCTTTTTTTATCTAAACTATCGTAGGCAGGAGGCCACGAACAAAATGGCAACCAGACTGTTTAAACAATATTGCAACAGTGTACATATATATTACGTTGCACTTTTATGCATAATGAACGCTCAGAGGGTACCCTGACACGTATTCTAAAAGATAAAACTCAAATATTTTACTTTAGATAACACGCAAGAGAACAAAACGAGGTAATATGGTTGCATCACTAATAGTTTGCGAATGAAAAAAGGTTATAAAACTATTACTTTTTACATTACAACATAATTATCTGGTGAATATGGTATTAATTTGCATAAAAACTATGAAAACACTTATCAAAGACAAAGAGAAGTACTCACAGCAGGTGGTTTTATCTTGCATATTCCCGACTTCTCGGCGATTGGTCTTATTTTACTAATGTATGCCAGAGGGTCTAGGAACTCCTCTGGCGTCGGCTCAAAGACGGGAGCCTCTGGCGGCACGGTAAACGTGAAATTATCAGGTTTCATGGGGGACGCCGAGTCCCCCATGCTAACTTCGACATTAGCTTCGTCACATTTTCCCATTTTTAAGAAAAACTATGCAGTTCTCACAATTGCAACTATAAACAACACTTTAGCATCATCTAATATTAAGGAATAAACAATGCACGTCCACAAAGAAATAACAGCAACAGAAGTAGTCTTTCCATAGGGAACCAAAATAAGTAATTTATTAAAATTATCACCAACAAATAACAGAGTCCTCCTATACGTCCGCCATGCGAAATTGAACTTTCGAAACTAGAGTTGCCACGTTTAAAAATAGAATAATTTTAATGCTTAGCGTTTACGAAGATAAAACAATTTATGTTTCTGAAGTAAAAATGTAATTAAATACTAATAAACGCAAAAAGATTTTCCTGTTACATAATACACTGTAACGATATGTTAATGCAACGAATAGAACACTTTTAAAACAACAGTATCTTTTCTCTTCTTACAAATTCAACTGACACAAAGCTATACAAAAAATATTATTAAGAACAAGGATCATAAAAAGAAATATACGTTACGTATATTTTTCGTAAAAGTATTATTTTAATTAGGCATTTTCAAAATAAATTAATAAATCAAATCAGACAATTTACAATGGAGAATTCAAAACATGATATCAGACTAAGATCAGCTATAGGATTTTTTTAATCAGTATCCAAATTCTCATATTGTTATCTTTCACAAAAAAAAAGCTTCATTTATTATTTAAGTAACGTTTATATGTACTAAAATATATGACAAGGAAATTGTCTTAAAAATATTGTATTGCAGTTTTTAAATTTTACAGACAACGCGCATAATGAGCATAAGTAAGTACTTACGCTGCACAATTTGTCTTAATTTATTTCCCCTTAAATTATATCATACATAAATTGCAAATTTTCCATTTATCCTTTTAAGGATTTAGGACCGTCAAAATGCAAAAAGTACTTGTTCTTTGAGTGTAAATTCAATAAATGCATTAAGTTACTTAATTAATGAAAATTATGACATCTTACATGAATAATTACGTCTTTTTCCTTTTAACGTGAGAGTTTCTGTTTGAAAAATATAAAAAATTCATCTTCAATTTCTACCACCAATGTTGGTCTGTCAATCGTTGAGCATATCCTGGCATTGTAAATTAATTATAATCTAATAACCGTTGATTAGCAGCTAAAATTTTTCTACGCCTAGGTACTGTTGGTTGTATTATACCCTGATTTGTAAACGCGGTATACTCTGGGAGTATACCGCGTTTATCTTGGCATCGTCTTTGGGCAGCGTTCAAATTTTTACCGCTTAAAATGTAGATACACAACACCTCATAGTATTCAAGATGTAAGTGCATTATGACGTAAGCTCACGTGCACTTAAAAAAGAAACAAATCGATGTATAAATTTAACTTTAATTAAAAGGAATGCGTATACGATCCCAAACTCAAAACAAAGAAAGATAAGGGGCGCTATCCTTCAACCCACTAGCCGATTATTTTGTTGTCCGGCATGATTTCCCTCTACCTGCACACCGTTTTCTCACTCTAATAGCATTCATTCATTTCAAAAGACTACAGCATGGGGTTTTACAAAAAAGGGATAAGTTTCTTCGGGGTCGACAATGCACGCGTAATATTTCTGGTATTGGAGGCGTTCATAGGCTATATATGCAGCTTACCATTAGGTGGGTCGTATGCTTATTTACCACCTCAATACTACTTAGAAAAAAATATTGGTTCATAAAACGGCTATGTACCTTTTTTTTTATTTGTTGCGTAAAATTCACGCTCCCGCAAACTTGCATTTGCGGATTTGTATTTATCGTAGAGTATCTATGCAGTATATTTACATACTTAAATTTTATTTTTTTATGTACCTACTCTATAAGTGATAAATAATGATACCATAAAATTGAATACTGATTAAAAAATCCCCTGCATAATGTCACTGAAATTATCATCACTGGAATAGTTGAAGTTACAGTATGTAAAAGAAAAAATTTTACTTATGCATCCCAAATTATTTTTTTGCTATTACCACATATTAGTTTATTTGTGGTAGTACCACAAACAAACTAATCACCAAGATATATGTACATACTACTATTGTAAACTGCTACTAAAATGAAACGTCGAACATTGAAAGTTATAATAAAAAAGGAGCCATAAAGTATTATAAAAACACCAACTACAAAAGAGTTTGTAACATATTACTATAATAAAATTGTAACTAAATGGAAGATATTCGAGAAAAAATTATTTGAGCAGTCTAATAAATACCAAAATAATTTAGATAAGTTAAATTTAAATAAATAAATTGGTTGTTTGTCTGTATGTTAGTTCCGGAATCAAACAAGCACTACTGTACCCCATTAGGTGCGGTTTTCACAGTTGTATTTCTGAAGGTCTAACTTAAAAATGGATCTATGTTTTTTTTTTGTGTGCTGTCTAGAAGTGGTATATTTCGTCGATTTTTCTACTTCTGAAGTCTACGCGTACAAAGTAGCGATCAAAAAGCTAGTAAAATATTTAAACGAAAAAATTCATATACAAATAAATATAAACATATAAATGACGAATAAGCTTATTTTCTCTCTTTTTTTTTTATTTCAAACTAGTGACCCGCCCCGGCTTTGCACAGGTGCAATGCTGATACTAAATATACCTACTTACTACAGAATGATCTTATAATCTCATTTACAGCTTTTTTGTCATTAAACAATACAAACATGACAAAGTGTTATAGGTCGAATCACGGCCTTCGACGTGCTATTTATAGACACGGGCCGCCGGCCGAGCCGGTACCGCCACACCATTATGTCCCTACATTTTAAATCTGTAATATCTTCGGGAATATTCATTTAAATTACATGCTGTAAAGGGCCGTATTGATCTGTATTAGATAGACAATGTATTTAAGGTTAATTGGATAAAAATTAATGCTGTATTGCTGTATTACTTCGTAAATAAGCCATTTTTTTACAGTAAAATGTAAAGGATAAATAATGACTATTGTGGGTTATTCTTAAAAGATAGACATGTATCATCGCAAACTTTTTTGTTGAACTTTCTAAGGTATACAATACTGTAGTACATTATTTTGATTTATCTCGTGGGGTTTGGCCAGCGTTTGCAATGTAAGCCCAAAAAAAATTGTTTATTTACGACATCACATTAGAAACCTCTAAATTTATCAGTGTTTTTCTACAATATTATGTATGTGTTATACACATAAAGCTTCCTCTTGAATCACTCTATTTATTAAAAAAAAATACGCTTTAAAATCCGTTGCATAGTTTTAAAGATTTAAGCATATATAGGAACGGATAGACAGCGACAGCTACTTTGTTATATACTATGTAGTGATGATAACGAAGAGGATGATGATGATTATACTCTAATTAATTAAAAATAATCATTTAACAAAGAAAACTTCAAGAAATTACTTTTAATCCTATTTTATTCGTATTGATCACTCTTTTAGATAGTGACATCCCTAAATAGTCAATCTTTGTCGGCTTAGGTCCATAGTACAGTGTAAAATTAAAATTGTTAGTTACGTAGTGTAATTAAAATTCTTTCAATCGTATGTCTCTAAAATGTTATAAGTTTTTATTATCCTTTTTTTTAGTTTAAATTCATATAAAAACGTCAAACTATAAACATATTTTAGCTATTGAAGTGCTTTGTTTTTTCTTTTGCTCTAAATTCCTAAGTTAAAAGAAAGTGATAAAAAATTTATAGCTTAAATAAATTTACCGGAGGTTTTAATTTTTATGAATGAGAATGTAATAATTTATCGGAATTTATTCTTAAACGATTTTGTACTACTTCTAAAAATATTTATAAAATATAAAAAAAATTTTTGTTTTTACTAACATTTTTTATTCATTTTTTTTTATTTTTGGACATATAATTTACATTACATATTTTATAACTACCTATTAAATGTATTCGAGTGCTTTTGATCTGAAAGTCATAATAATAATGGCAACATTGTTTTTTTCATGTTTTGTATAAAATGTAAATCTTGTACCTAAACGAAACGAACGGAACTTACTTCGTGAACGCGCAGAATCGAATGCAATCGATGAACACATCCGTCATACGCCGCCATTTGCGAAAGGTTGATCGCTGCTCCGCAGCGCGAGTGTCATCGTTTTGATTATGTCGAGTGTTTAATTTGTTATTTTCGAGAAAACTGTAAACTCAGTGCCGGTATTTAACCAGTTAAAATGATTGTGAGATTTTTGAGCGTTTTGTGCGTCGGAGTTTTGGTGGCTTCGGTGTACAGTGCCAAAGGAAACAACGACAATGAAGGTATGCAACTTCGTTCACATTATTTATTTTTCTTCCAATTTATGTCACGAATCCACCTGTGTTAGGTACTTTTCTTGTATTTCACTATATAAATACATTAAAAGGTGTTTTCGAAATTGAGATGAGCTTGTAATTGTAATTCAGATATTCAACTCAGATTCCAGTTAAGAAAATGTAATGAATACATCGCACCATTGGAAAAATTCATGGAAAATCTTTGTTTTCTGAGAAAAACTTTCGAAAATTCTCTCTCTTATGATTATTAGGCGTCGGTATGGTTCATCCATGGCATGATTTTCATGTGGGTGTTAGATCGTGGAACCGGCCAGACGACTTCTGTTGTGCATGTTGCAGGCACACACACGCACAAACCTCGGAGCTGTGGTAGGCGTGAGTCGCCAGTACCAGCCACTCGCCACAGCAGTTTCGCACTCGATTCATACAGTCTGCTACACTGTTGTTTTGCTAATCATTTGATACTGATTCACATCTATACACGAGAGCCAATATTTTTTATCTAATTAGAACTGTTATCTTCCATTTGTGATTGTGTGATTTTAAATAAAATTGCACTTTTTATCATAAAACATCATGTTGCTATGTAAAGTAACACAGAGGTACTCAGTTATACTGTTACTGAATGGTCTATCATAATATTAATTCCAGTCTTAAAACTTTTTTTTATATTGATTGTTTTTTATAATAGTAATGAAAAAATTATATATATTTATTTATATGTTTACTTAGTACTTTATTTACCAATCAAATTCTCTACCAGACAATCTGTGTGGAGTGAAGACATTGAAATATATAAATTATAGAGAACTCCTGTACATAAATTTCATATATTTGAAAAGACCGATTTTTTTAATGAATTATATGACATTGTAATCTCTTGTGCTGATATTTTATGCTAGTGGAGTATAAATTAAAATAGAATAGGGGTGGTGATAAATTAGAATGTAGCCTGATTAGAAAGCCTATTGAATTCTCCAGGAATTAATTATGTTTCTAGGTTGACTCTATGAAGAATTATAGACTATATTGCTAGCAAAATGGATGGACTGTGTGAAAGATGATATGGCCAGAATGGAAGTGAATGTGGAAAAGACCGTGTATAGAGATGACCGACCTCATTTTGTAGGTATTGCGAATCATGCACACACACTCATTTTGGATGAAACTGTAATACAAATTGTTTTTTCTTTCTTTTTTAATTTTATATTCATTATTTATATATAAATATTTTGTGTGTAGTTTTGTTATTATAATTAATATGTGACTGGCATATTTCTGTAAAATAAAGTTTCTTTCTTTCTATTACGCCCATCCCAAGTAATAATTCGGACAAGGGTAGGAAGATGATGATGATTGTTAACAAAATAAACTAATTAGTGCCAATGATTAATAATGATATGGACTCACCAGTTTAGGTTAAAGGAAAGCATCATATTATTGAATAGATTTGAATCATCAACTAATTATAATATTGATAAAGTCTGGAAGTTATTAGATAAGGCAAATAAAAATCATTCTGAATGTAACTTACATGTAAATGATAATGTAAACAAATTAGAATATTAATTGTTTGTTTCAATGTTCATCAAAACAAATCATTAACATCCCAGTGCTGGGCATACACCGCTCATAAGTAGGGGATATTAAAGTAGTTTACTATTATTATGAGAAAAACCTATAACTAAACATTTAGTGGTTGGAGAAGTCGCTTTTTATTATTAATAATAACAGTAAGTCCGGCACAATTTTTTTTTTTTTGTGAAAATGGTAAGGTAACCTCGCCTGCGCTAACGGGACACGCTGGCGGAGCACCAGTGAAGGGATGGTGATAGATGAGAGTGAAAACAGGCCAGTTAGCCCATCATGATGAATTTATCAGGAATTAACCATGATAGTTTCCAGGGAGAATCGTAAGGAGGTCGACCTGGTTGGGTATATTGCTAGCAATGGGATTCTCAGTCTCCATTACTAACAATCTCTTTTCCCCCAGTCCCGCACAATTACATCAGTTGTGTGGTCCTCAAGCTAAGATAATCAGTGTCAGATGTGTTGAAAGACAAAGAAAAAGGTGAGTTGACGAAATCATGGAAGTGGCAGGAAAGAATTGAATGAATGTTGCTGAGTATCGAAGAGCTTTTGCCCATGAGGGACCATACACCAAAGGATACAAAAAAAAAATATATTAATATTGAGAAAATTAATCCTATAAAGTATTGAAAAATAAAGCTATAATACTTATAATTAGGAACCAGGCTACTAACATTCAGGGGCACAACAGACAACACCACCAGACCCAAGACAATTCAGTAAATTGTACTGAACTAAGTGGAAGGCCATATCACTGGTTATTTGGTCACACACATATGGTAATAGTAGCAGAATTAAACAAAACAATTTTAATCAAACAACCATATCAGAAAAGCATTCATTTCCAAAATTGACCTGACCAAGAATCGAACTTGTGATATCATTTACGTAAAGCAACGTGCCTACCACTGCGCACGAAGGTCGTCAGGAGTATTTTTAATATACACATAATTTTTTTAAATAGCAAATCCGCTAATGGAAAATTGTCGTCGGCATTAGACATGAACAGGACTAACGACGTTACAGTATATACTATGACGTCCACAATGCCCTTCATATACACTAAGAATATTTTTAGTACCGATCCATCCATCTGGCCCATGTTATAAAAAGATATTGTATAATTACTTCCCAATACTTTTTTTTTGTTATTCTCCTAAAAAGAATTGTTTCAATTGTGACAAAACACATGTGACCTACAAAGGAATAAACCCTATCGATTGAGGTAATAAAAAAAAGGGGTTGTCATATAAAATTTAACGTGACGTCACACATCCTATAAACAGTGGACGATCAAAACGGTTCCAACGATACCTGTTTTTTTTTATAATAGGTAGTTTAAAAGTTATGTTCCCTCTAAGATGAACTTATATATATATATATATACATACATACTGGTCAAAAACTAGATTTTGCTTCGCTGTAGTCAGATAAAAAAAATCTAAATCTCTTTAGAACAGACGGAGATATCACGTAATATGAAAATGCTAGCTGATGCCCGCCTTCTTAATTCTTTATATCCTTTACTTGGGAAACGATTGAGCCCCCATATAAAAATTTCATTTATTTCACCCCCTTCGAATTTTATTTTACCGACAAACAGTGGGCTTTCATCCTTCTTCGCGGTCTAAACTATCTCTGTAACAAAATTTATCAAAATGGGTACAGTATCTAGTTTTGACGTGAAAAGAACAAACGGTTACTTTTTCAAAATATTAATTAGTATGGATCATCATCGTCATATCAGCCTTTAACTGTCCACTGCTGGACATAAGCCTCCCCTTTGGGGGGTTATGCCTGTAGTTGCCACGCTTGGCAGGTGCATTGACAACCGCAGTTAGGCTTTAGGTAGAGACTCTGCTGTCCATCCCTCACCCTCCCTTTGTCGCTTTTTACGACACCCATGGAAAAAGGAAGGGGTAGCCTATTCTATCCTGGAGCCGTACGGCCAAATATATAGTATAGTATGGAGACTGAGAATCCCATTGCTAGCAATATACCCAACCAGGTCGACTTCCTTGCGGTTCCCCCTGGAAACTATCATGGTTAATTCCTGATGAATTCATCATGATGGGCTAACTGGCCTGTTTTCATTCTCATCTATCACCCTTCATTGTTGCTCTGCCAGCGTATCCCGTTAGCGCAGGCGGGGTTACCATACCATTTTCACCCATCAAAAAAAAAAAAATAGTATGAATACCAATAAAAGAGCTCTCTATTTTTAAAAATGTAATCCTTTTTGAGTGTTACGCTAAAACGCTATCTAGCCGGCATGATAATGTTGATGAGCGTATAAAAGTTTGATGTAAGTACCGTTTTACAACCGGCAACGAGCAACAATGTCGCGCACCTACAAGTGCTTTGGCAACGCAACATTGTCAACCTTCCGTCACATTGTTGTAGAAGCTGAAGAATGTAGAGAATTTGACAATGGATCATTGAAATGGTAGTATATAGTTAGTTAGTTTTTTTTTTTTTACAACACAGGGGGCAAACGAGCATGCGGCTCACCTGATGGTAAGTGACTACCGCCGCCCATGATTACCCACAACACCAGCGGCATTGCAGGTGTGCTGTTTTAGTTTAGTAATCTATAATATTCGCCATTGTGTTTTTTTTTTTGTTTAAAGTATTGTTTTATTTTTTCTCTATTCCATAATGCACCGCCTACGTATTTCTCTGTTTGCCCAATGGTTGACTAGTATAGAACACCGTCCGGTGTTGAGTCCGCCATATGTACATAGAATTTTATTGTGTAAAAAATAAATAATACAAGTTATGACCTCTCTGTGTAAATTTCAAACTTGTTCAATGATTTAAACGTGATTGAATAATAAACATATAATTACGTTTACACACCTCTCATGCGGATGAAAGCGGAATCATCATTGCACTGTTTCTTGTTAAACAGGAAGCGCTAATGTGAATTCATTTTGCTATTTAATGCATGTAAGTACTTATACTTGTGAATTAAACATTCATGCACACATAGGCAGTTACGGGCTCTAGCTAGTAATTCACCGCGGCTTCGCTCGGGTGTTATATACCACTGAGGTGGCAAACAAGCATACGGCCCACCTGATGGTAAGTGGTAACCGTCGCCTATAAGTTGCATAATTTTTTTTTTCTGGAAAATTATTAGAGTCCTACTTGGAACCTAGTGTTAACCGTTCGGTATCCAAACTGCAAAATAATAGAATATTTTTGTTAGTAGAAGAATATAACGTATTGGCGTATAAGTACTGATGGCGATGTTTGGGCATCACGTATCTCTCAATGACAATGACTTCAGACACTACATATGTATATGCAGATGATTCGATTATAATATTAATCATCAATGATTCCCTAATGTTCGTTTGGGCATACAATGTGGTCAGATAGTGTTTAGATTC